GCAACTCAACTGATCATTCCTCTCTTGTTGTGCTGCCAAGTGCATATTACATAACATGTAATACATTGACTACATCAGACCTGGATAATACACCCAATCTCAGTTTGAATAATTACCACAGACAGTTCTACACCCTCAGAAGCAAGGGTGAACGTTTTTGAGTTGTTTTGCATAGTCTTTGTCAGGTAATCTGGGTGGTTCTACCACTAATTATTTGTAATAAAGTCATTAACCGAGGATCAAGTGAATGACAACAAATTCACAGGTGTAGGGTTATACCATGAAACATGGAAGACAAGAAGGGAAAAATAATTGTATTATATGAAATTTGCCTGGAAAATAAGGGTCGTGGCTGTTTTGAGTATATGAACTTGACTTTTTTGTTGCAAAAATAATAAGTACACATATTTGCTGTATACTTATCTACATAATTGCACATACACGCTGACAGATTTTAAAAGGTGAAAGGTTATAGTAAGCATCAACCAATCAAATGCGAAGATTCAAGGGGATTTCCCCCTCACTGTCAACGAGGTGGTTCAAATCCAGTTTGTTTGGTTCGCTAACTCAAATTAGCTTCTGGTGACTACATGGGCTAATTAAAACAGAGCCGACTCGGCGACTGTGAGTTGGAATGTTGTTTCCCTTTAATCATTTATTATTTTTTAATCTTAGGTTATTTTTGGTATATGTGTGTCTGGTTGGGTATTTCATGTTTCAATATTTAAGGTAGTATCAGCCATGCTATGATATCTCTAAAGGATAATTCTAAAAATACATCTTCTTGCAATAAACTGCATTCATCTGTTTTATTCCTTTGTTGCTGTGAGGGAGTCTGTGTGAGCTACTTTATGTCGCCAATGTTACACAGGATATTAACAGATGTTCACCACAGGTATTGATTCTACATCAGTATCAAGCTAATTGTGTTTATATTAAAATTGTAATTAGTCATTGCTGTCCAAGAATGACATTTGAAATCCAAGGAGCTCTGGCTTATGTTTTCATGTAGACAGATGAGTGATAGCAACAAATCAGCTAAAGCATTATCCTGTAAATTAAGAGTGATCCCAAAATAACTGCACTATGATAAAAATAAGTGCATTCTTCTGATGGTAAAAAAAATTAATTGATGTTATGTTGTTGGTTTCCATGGAAACCACTTTGGTTTAAATTACTGTGCCTGATTTAGTAAAGAAAATAATAGCAACAGACCAAGAACTTGATAATGATTGTCATGCAATTTGTTTTGTCTACAATTATTGTAACAAGTGAAGGGCCACGCAATGTGGATGATAAACAGCCTGCTCTTGTTTAAGACAAAACTGTCATCATTTATCAGTTTTATTAAAAAATAATGTCAATGTTTGACATTTATTGTGATAACGTTACTTGATGGAATATGACACAGTGGTATAGGGCATGATTCTAGAGGTAGGCATGAGTTCTGTGTACATCGACAGCAACGACCATCCACTTCACATAGTGAGACAGATAGATCAATATAGAGTTGATGTCTGCTGTTGGACATGTGATAGCATCCCCATAATGCTGCTGTCCCTGTATGGTGGCATGGCGGCCATGATGATGCAGCCACACGGAGCAGTACTCCGGTAATATGGAGGTATTTGATGACAGGATGGAAATATACCAGTAGTCATTGAGAGCCGTGTTGATACCTTGTATGACACTCACTGAGAATGATGACGAAATACAACACCCAAAGACGGAGATGATGACTGACATTTATCTTGTTTAATGCAACTAATTTGTGATGGAACTGAGCCAACTTTCCCTATCATTGACATGAGTGGGATAATTTAAATTCCAGACTAATCAGATGAGGAATTATTGATATCAGCATTAAGAGCCACAGTTTCTCCTGGTTAGGTCAGAGTCTAGGAGAGAAGTCGGCAGATCCATAATAATAAGATTTAGTTTAGATTTTCAAAAGCTATTTTTGTAACATATTGCTGGTTTTGCCATGACAGGGATATACAGGTACATACATAGTAAAAATTATTCCAAATTTCATCATAGTCTATCCAAGTTTTAGCTCACCAGAAAGGTAGGTTCAAACTAGCTTATTGAATGGCTGTACTTCCTTATGTCTAAAGATGAAATGGGTTTGAATCCGTCCCTGCTGTATTCCGCAGGCAAAACCTTTTACAAATTCAATACTTAATTAAGTAACTTCTGCAACCTAATTCTGATAATTCTGCACACAATTCTGAGCAACTTAGGCAATAGTTGTCATGAATTTTGTATTTTTATACCCCCGTTTACGAAGTAAATCGGGGGTATATAGCATTCCGTCTGTCCATCCTTCTGTCCGTCTGTCCGAGCATTTGTACGGCCCATAACTTTTTAACCATGCACCCTAGCTACACCAAACTTGCTACACACATTGACCACAATGAGTACTTGTGCCTTTTGCTAGTTTGAAGATTCTGATTTTTTTAATTTTTGCCGTTTCCATGGAAACATCAGAAACTTAAACTTTTAGGGTGTGTGTTTTGTACGGCCTATATCTTTTTAACCATGCACCCTAGCTTCACCAAACTTTCTACGCACATTAACCACAATGAGTGCTTGTGCCTTTTGCTAGTTTGAAGATTCTGAATTTTTTAATTTTTGCCATTTCCATGGATACATTAAGAAACATCAAGAATGTATGTTGTGCTAAGCATTTATTATCCCACACTAGATTGAAATATATTTGCAAAAACATGTGTTCATTTCAAACATAATGCATCCTCATGGGGTTACAAAGGAAAGGGCAGTTCCTCTGACTTAAAGCAACAGGTATATTTCATGGTTTATTCTACCATAACTAAAATATGTTTTTTAAAACAAACTCTTTTTCTTGCACACCCCATGTCATTGATTTCTGTGTACTCTTGCTTTTGGAATCAAGAATTAGGTGTTCCAATCCCTTCTCATTGATGGGTTTGAATCGCCTGAATTGTGGTTTTTCGTCATTTATCAAACATATGTTCCAATCAAAATTTGTATAAATAGTTACGCAAATTAAAATAATTTGAAATTACTTTAATGTTTTTTGTTGAAGAAATTAGAAACCTTTCAGTCATCTGTAAGAATGTATGGGCACAAATGCATTCGCCTTTTATTCGATAAACTTAAAAGTAGACATGACGAAAATCATTGTACCTGCAACATTTTCTTGTTCACCTTGTTCTGGAAATTCCATCTCCTCATCAAACCATGTTGGCTCTAATTCAAGATTTCCATGCATGTCAAAATTGTCATTTATGTTGCTGATTGAAATCTATCAACCATCCCAGTAAACCGGACTACATGGTTGTGAACATTGACGCTGGTGCATCTGGTGCAAATAATTCCTACACAATGTGAAGCGGCCCTGAACTCTGAAGTGGTTATCACTCATTAATCACTTTAAACTTAGTCAACTTAACCAACCAAATTAGATCATCCTACAATGACATAGTAGAATCAAGATTATTGCACTTAATTGATGATGTGTTTTGATTGCTGTATTGAACATGAAGTGGAGTATAATTAATAGGATATCAACACAAACCACACCAATGTTATCTTGTGGTGCAGACAGTTACTAGTAGTTTATGTGCTTATTGTCCCATTTGTTGTACAATCAATTTGGTAAGGTTTGTTAAATTGTATAACTGTAATAAGTTTTTCTTAGGGTTTTCTTGTGTATGGGAAGTAAAAGAATATCATGATTTGTATTATTTTTCGTTGTGGATGATTGTTGTAGCAAGCATCGACTACAGTGATCCCTCGCTACAACGCTACCTTCGGGGTCCAAATAATTGATGAGCGTTATAGATGATCAGCGGTTTAACGAAGGTCGAGTCGTAGGTGGTAGATGACCAACAAAACAGTATACATACTCTGCCTACCTAACACGATCTACGTTGCACGTTTCAGAGTCAAAATATTAGAATAGAAGTTATTTATAATTCATAGTGTAGAAAAAGATTTATCGAGTATTAATATGCGCTTTCAAAAACAAACAAACATCATATCCCTTCAGGTGAATAAACAGGTAGATCTATAACAAACTTGGTCAATAAAAGTATGAAATTTGATATAAAACATCACTAGGCATGATGATTTACCATTAAGAATGTATTTCCTGCTCTCTAAGGTATTCTTTTATATGCAGAGATTAAGATTACTGTGTGTATTTTCTTGTAAACTAAGCTGGAAATAGCAATCAGCTGTTCACACGTTTCCTCCCAATCTACCGGTGATTCAGTTAAAACGTACCCAGTGATACCACTTTAGAAGAAATTGTATCTGATATTATTATTTTATCAGGAATAATATATTCCAATATCGTGTTATTTTAGTTGCAGCTTCCATCATATATACTTAAAATTATAAGAACGACAAGCGTAGCACTTTGGTACAGATTGTATGCAGGATATTTTTTGACGTATGAAACGATTTTGACCAGTCACCGTAGGGACTTCCCACGCTATATGTATTTTGATAGCGAAAACGTTATGTTGACATTTAATAGTCAAACTGCCTCGAATATGACGGTGAGTTGTGCGATCTACCGCTCACTTTGCATACGATTTCGCCGAAATTATTGTAAACATTATTATAGAATCTAATAATTGAATGAAATTTTAAATATAATTAAAATATTTATATTGCAACATTAGTCCAGATAAACAATGAACATTTTTTTTTATTAGTCTACCAGATATTATAATAATAGGATTAAATTGCGTACTTCGGTTCGGATTTTTTGACTGGTATTTCCGGTGTTACGTGATCGCGCTGATCAGCTGATAATGTTTTCTGAGATGGGGGAAAACATCGTGTCATTGGAAAACTTGAGTTTATTGAAAATGTTGGGAGCCATGCTTTACCACGCGCTTTAACTGAGTTAGCGCTATATTGAAGGGCGCAATAACGAGGGAACACTGTAGTAGACGAGGGTCGGTGTCTACATCTCTAAGTGAGTACATTGTTTGTTGTTGCAGATTGTTCAAGACGTTCAAGGACAGGAAGTATGTGTACATGCTGATGGAGGTGTGTCTGGGTGGAGAGCTGTGGACGATCCTCAGAGACAGGTGAGACAGGAAGTATTTATACCTGTTGGTGGAGGTGTGTGTGGGTAGAGAGCTGTGGACGATCCTCAGAGACAGGAAGTATGTATACCTGCTGATGGAGGTGTGTGTGGGTGGAGAGCTGTGGACGATCCTCAGAGACAGGTGAGACAGGAAGTATTTATACCTGTTGATGGAGGTGTGTGTGGGTGGAGAGCTGTGGACGATCCTCAGAGACAGGTGAGACAGGAAGTATTTATACCTGTTGATGGAGGTGTGTCTGGGTGGAGAGCTGTGGACGATCCTCGGAGACAGGTGAGGCAGGAAGTATTTATACCTGTGATGGAGGTGTGTGTCTGGGTGGAGAGCTTAGACGATCCTCAGAGACAGATGAGACAGGAAGTATTTATACCTGTTGATGGAGGTGTGTGTCGGTGGAGAGCTTTGGACGATCCTCAGAGACAGGTGAGACAGGAAGTATTTATACCTGTTGGTGGAGGTGTGTCTGGGTGGAGAGCTGTGGACGATCCTCAGAGACAGGTGAGACAGGAAGTATTTATACCTGTTGATGGAGGTGTGTGTCGGTGGAGAGCTTTGGACGATCCTCAGAGACAGGTGAGACAGGAAGTATTTATACCTGTTGGTGGAGGTGTGTGTGGGTAGAGAGCTGTGGACGATCCTCAGAGACAGGAAGTATTTATACCTGTTGATGGAGGTGTGTGTGGGTGGAGAGCTGTGGACGATCCTCAGAGACAGGTGAGACAGGAAGTATTTATACCTGTTGATGGAGGTGTGTGTGGGTGGAGAGCTGTGGACGATCCTCAGAGACAGGTGAGACAGGAAGTATGTATCAAGTTGATGGAGGTGTTTCTGGGTGGAGAGATGTGGACGATCTTCAGAGACAGGTGAGACAGGAAGTATGTATCAAGTTGATGGAGGTGTGTCTGGGTGGAGAGCTGTGGACGATCCTCAGAGACAGGTGAGACAGGAAGTATGTATCAAGTTGATGGAGGTGTGTGTGGTTGGAGAGCTGTGGACGATCCTCAGAGACAGGTGAGACAGGAAGTATGTATCAAGTTGATGGAGGTGTGTGTGGTTGGAGAGCTGTGGACGATCCTCAGAGACAGGTGAGACAGGAAGTATTTATACCTGTTGATGGAGGTGTGTGTGGGTGGAGAGCTGTGGACGATCCTCAGAGACAGGTGAGACAGGAAGTATTTATACCTGTTGATGGAGGTGTGTCTGGGTGGAGAGCTGTGGACGATCCTCGGAGACAGGTGAGGCAGGAAGTATTTATACCTGTGATGGAGGTGTGTGTCAGTGGAGAGCTTAGACGATCCTCAGAGACATATGAGACAGGAAGTATTTATACCTGTTGATGGAGGTGTGTGTCGGTGGAGAGCTTTGGACGATCCTCAGAGACAGGTGAGACAGGAAGTATTTATACCTGTTGGTGGAGGTGTGTCTGGGTGGAGAGCTGTGGACGATCCTCAGAGACAGGTGAGACAGGAAGTATTTATACCTGTTGATGGAGGTGTGTGTCGGTGGAGAGCTTTGGACGATCCTCAGAGACAGGTGAGACAGGAAGTATTTATACCTGTTGGTGGAGGTGTGTGTGGGTAGAGAGCTGTGGACGATCCTCAGAGACAGGAAGTATTTATACCTGTTGATGGAGGTGTGTGTGGGTGGAGAGCTGTGGACGATCCTCAGAGACAGGTGAGACAGGAAGTATTTATACCTGTTGATGGAGGTGTGTGTGGGTGGAGAGCTGTGGACGATCCTCAGAGACAGGTGAGACAGGAAGTATGTATCAAGTTGATGGAGGTGTTTCTGGGTGGAGAGCTGTGGACGATCCTCAGAGACAGGTGAGACAGGAAGTATGTATCAAGTTGATGGAGGTGTGTCTGGGTGGAGAGCTGTGGACGATCCTCAGAGACAGGTGAGACAGGAAGTATGTATCAAGTTGATGGAGGTGTGTGTGGTTGGAGAGCTGTGGACGATCCTCAGAGACAGGTGAGACAGGAAGTATGTATCAAGTTGATGGAGGTGTGTGTGGTTGGAGAGCTGTGGACGATCCTCAGAGACAGGTGAGACAGGAAGTATTTATACCTGTTGAAGGAGGTGTGTGTGGGTGGAGAGCTGTGGACGATCCTCAGAGACAGGTGAGACAGGAAGTATGTATCAAGTTGATGGAGGTGTGTGTGGTTGGAGAGCTGTGGATGATCCTCAGAGACAGGTGAGACAGGAAGTATTTATACCTGTTGATGGAGGTGTGTGTGGGTGGAGAGCTGTGGACGATCCTCAGAGACAGGTGAGACAGGAAGTATTTATACCTGTTGATGGAGGTGTGTGTCGGTGGAGAGCTGTGGACGATCTTCAGAGACAGGTGAGACAGGAAGTATGTATACCTGTTGATGGAGGTGTTGCACTGTAAAACTTCATTTCCGCAGAAACCGCTTGACCAAAAAATCTGAAAGTTCACATGCGTATGTAACAAATGTTATATCTGGGATAACACTTTCTTAGTAAAGTACAGATTCTCATACTTTTTGGGGTTGAGTCCCGTCCGGGATTACATTTGTTGCATTTGACCACTTTCTAAATGGCATTGTGTATTCGTTCACATGCTTGTTCCCACCAATGAGGCACCCCAATTTGTTCCCGTTGAGTTGAATGCAATTTTGGCCTCAATTCAATATCCAGGTGAGCTACAGTGATGTGGCACTACTGTATCATTATCATAGGGAAACATGTTGTGTCTCATTTGTACTTGAAGTGTAAGAAGGTCCCCCCAGAATGATTTGTTTTCCTCAAGCAAATTAAAGCATGTGGTCTGTGTGGTGTTCGGCATAACAGTTCGCTTGATCTACTGGTCATGTAATCCTAGGTCCACTATCTATAGACAGAACTAAAATGGTGCTCACTCTGAAACCCTGTGCATGACTTCACTAAAACACATTTATTAATTCTGTAATATTTAGAAGAATTATGTATTGCCATGTTTTGCCACTAGGGGGAGTTTTGATGACAACATGGCAAGGTTCTGTGTGGCGTGTGTCTTGGAGGCATTCCAGTACCTACATTACAAGGGCATCATCTACCGAGATCTGAAACCTGAGAACTTACTACTTGACTCGAAAGGCTACATTAAACTGGTAGGCACAACAAAGTCAAGCTGATATACCTCTTTGATGCTAACAACACAAGAAATTGTTTACCAATACTCCTGGGGCAGAAAAAATCCCAAGTACCCCTTGCTTGTCCCCAGTATCTCCTGCTTGTCCCCAGTACCTCTTGCTTGTCCCCAGTACATCCTGCTTGTCCCCAGTACCTCTTGCTTGTCCCCAGTACCCCTTGCTTGTCCCCAGTACATCTTGCTTGTCATCAGCACCTCCTGCTTGTCCCCAGTATCCCTTGCTTGTCCCCAGTACCTCCTGCTTGTCCCCAGTATCCCTTGCTTGTCCCCAGTACCTCTTGCTTGTCCCCAGTACCCCTTGCTTGTCCCCAGTACCCCTTGCTTGTCCTCAGTACCCCTTGCTTGTCCTCAGCACCTCCTGCTTGTCCCCAGTACCCCTTGCTTGTCCACGGTACATCTTGCTTGTCCCCAGTATCCCTTGCTTGTCCCCAGTATCCCTTGCTTGTCCTCAGCACCTCCTGCTTGTCCCCAGTATCCCTTGCTTGTCCACGGTACATCTTGCTTGTCGCCAGTACCTCTTGCTTGTCCCCGGTACATCTTGCTTGTCCTCAGCACCTCCTGCTTGTCCCCAGTATCCCTTGCTTGTCCCCAGTACCTCCTGCTTGTCCCCAGTATCCCTTGCTTGTTCCCAGTACCTCTTGCTTGAGCCCAGTACCCCTTGCTTGTCCTCAGCACCTCCTGCTTGTCCGCAGTACCTCCTGCTTGTCCCCAGTACCTCTTGCTTGTCCCCCAGTACCCCTTGCTTGAGCCCTATACCCCTTGCTTGTCCCCAGTACCTCCTGCTTGTCCCCAGTATCCCTTGCTTGTCCCCAGTACCTCCTGCTTGTCCACAGCACCTCCTGCTTGTCCCCAATATCCCTTGCTTGTCCCCAGTACCTCCTGCTTGTCCCCAATATCCCTTGCTTGTCCATAGTACCTCCTGCTTGTCGCCAGTACCTCTTGCTTGTCCCCCAGTACCCCTTGCTTGAGCCCAGTACCCCTTGCTTGTCCCCAGTACCTCTTGCTTGTCCCCAGTACCCCTTGCTTGTCCTCAGCACCTCCTTCTTGTCCCCAGTATCCCTTGCTTGTCCTCAGCACCTCCTGCTTGTCCCCAGTACCTCCTGCTTGTCCCCAGCACCTCCTGCTTGTCCCCAGTATCCCTTGCTTGTCCCCAGTATCCCTTGCTTGTCCCCAGTACCTCCTGCTTGTCCCCAGCACCTCCTGCTTGTCCCCAGTACCTCCTGCTTGTCCCCAGTACCTCTTGCTTGTCCCCCAGTACCCCTTGCTTGAGCCCTGTACCCCTTGCTTGTCCCCAGTACCTCTTGCTTGTCCCCAGTACACCTTGCTTGTCCTCAGCACCTCCTGCTTGTCCCCAGTATCCCTTGCTTGTCCCCAGTACCTCCTGCTTGTCCCCAGTACCCCTTGCTTGTCCCCGGTACATCTTGCTTGTCCTCAGCACCTCCTGCTTGTCCCCAGTATCCCTTGCTTGTCCCCAGTATCCCTTGCTTGTCCCCAGTATCCCTTGCTTGTCCCCAGTACCTCCTGCTTGTCCCCAGTACCCCTTGCTTGTCCCCAGTACCTCCTGATTGTCCCCAGCACCTCCTGCTTGTCCCCAATATCCCTTGCTTGTCCCAAGTACCTCCTGCTTGTCGCCAGTATCCCTTGCTTGTCCTCAGCACCTCCTGCTTGTCCCCTGTACCCCTTGCTTGTCCCCAGTACCTCTTGCTTGTCCCCAGTACACCTTGCTTGTCCTCAGCACCTCCTGCTTGTCCCCAATATCCCTTGCTTGTCCCAAGTACCTCCTGCTTGTCGCCAGTATCCCTTGCTTGTCCCCAGTACCTCCTGATTGTCCCCAGCACCTCCTGCTTGTCCCCAATATCCCTTGCTTGTCCTCAGCACCTCCTTCTTGTCCCCAGTATCCCTTGCTTGTCCTCAGCACCTCCTGCTTGTCCCCAGTACCCCTTGCTTGTCCCCTGTACCTCCTGCTTGTCCCCAGCACCTCCTGCTTGTCCCCAGTATCCCTTGCTTGTCCCCAGTATCCCTTGCTTGTCCCCAGTACCTCCTGCTTGTCCCCAGCACCTCCTGCTTGTCCCCAGTACCTCCTGCTTGTCCCCAGTACCTCTTGCTTGTCCCCCAGTACCCCTTGCTTGAGCCCTGTACCCCTTGCTTGTCCCCGGTACATCTTGCTTGTCCCCAGTACACCTTGCTTGTCCTCAGCACCTCCTGCTTGTCCCCAGTATCCCTTGCTTGTCCCCAGTACCTCCTGCTTGTCCCCAGTACCCCTTGCTTGTCCCCAGTACATCTTGCTTGTCCTCAGCACCTCCTGCTTGTCCCCAGTATCCCTTGCTTGTCCCCAGTATCCCTTGCTTGTCCCCAGTATCCCTTGCTTGTCCCCAGTACCTCCTGCTTGTCCCCAGTACCCCTTGCTTGTCCCCAGTACCTCCTGATTGTCCCCAGCACCTCCTGCTTGTCCCCAATATCCCTTGCTTGTCCCAAGTACCTCCTGCTTGTCGCCAGTACCTCTTGCTTGTCCCCCAGTACCCCTTGCTTGACCCCAGTACCCCTTGCTTGTCCCCAGTACCTCTTGCTTGTCCCCAGTACCCCTTGCTTGTCACCAGAACCCCTTGCTTGTCCCCAGTACATCTTGCTTGTCCCCAGTACCCCTTGCTTGTCACCAGTACCCCTTGCTTGTCTCCAGTACCCCTTGCTTGTCACCAGTACCCCTTGCTTGTCCCCAGTACCCCTTGCTTGTCCCCAGTTACTCCTGCTTGTCCCCAGTACCCCTTGCTTGTCACCAGAACCCCTTGCTTGTCCCCAGTACCCCTTGCTTGTCACCAGTACCCCTTGCTTGTCACCAGTACCCCTTGCTTGTCTCCAGTACCCCTTGCTTGTCCCCAGTACCCCTTGCTTGTCCCCAGTACCTCTTGCTTGTCACCAGTACCCCTTGCTCGTCACCAGTACCTCTTGCTTGTCCCCAGTACCTCTTGCTTGTCCCCAGTACCTCTTGCTTGTCCCCAGTACCTCCTGCTTGTCCCAAGTACCCCTTGCTTGTCCCTAGTACCCCTTGTTTGTCCCCAGTACCTCCTGCTTGTCCCCAGTACCCCTTGCTTATCCCCAGTACCCCTTGCTTGTCCCCAGTTCCTCTTGCTTGTCCCCAGTACCTCCTGCTTGTCCCCAGTACCCCTTGCTTGTCCCCAGTACCTCCTGCTTGTCCACAGTACCCTTTGCATGTCCTCAGTACTGCTTGCTTGTCCTCAGTATCCCTTGCTTGTCTCTAGTACCCCTTGCTTGCTTGTGCATTACGACCACTCCAGCTTCGTTTTGGTGCTTGTCACAGGTAAAATGTGTGTGTTAAATCTAAAAAGAAGATGCCACTCAATCTTCAGTAATATGGACACAGAAATACAGAGTTGCAGTATGGTTTATACAAAACCGTTTGTCAACAAATTCTGGGTTAAGCCACAATATATTTGCTGCAACAAGCCCCAGGTAGCTGTGACCTGGCTGATTGCAGTTGTGTACAGGTCATCATGACACAGCTGTAATATTGCTGACTGTAGCACTATGCACCATTCACTACACACACTAACAACTTCTCACATCGTTCCATGTCAACACTTATGCCTCCGGACTCTCTACATGTGGTTTTTCATGCCTTGTAATCAGAGTATGTGTGTTCTAGGTTGACTTTGGGTTTGCCAAGAAAGTTGGCTCGGGTAAGAAGACCTGGACGTTCTGCGGTACACCTGAATATGTGGCCCCTGAAATCATCCTGAACAAGGGCCATGACCACGCTGTGGATTACTGGTCCCTAGGGATTCTCATGTTTGAGCTGCTGACAGGAAGGTGAGTGGCACCCTCGAAGGAGACAATGGAGGAGGATGCTTGTTACAGGATTCAGCTGTTAATGGATGACCAAAGCTGGGAAAGATGCTAGTTTCCTGAAACATGTTGTAGTCCAACCTGCTCTTCTTTTAAGTTATTGACACTTATAGTATGAAAGTCATTTTGATAATACAGTGAACTACTCTTATAACGAACACGCTTATAACGAAATATCTTTTTGGTCCCGCCCATTTGCTGTGTATATTCCGTACATTTGCTTATATCAAACTTCGGTTATAACGAATTAAAATTAGTGGTCCCTTTGAGTTTGTTGTAACCGTAGTTTACTGTAGTTGAATTAAGCTTCTGACTGCTTTTAGTTTTAGAAAATTATAAGAAATGTTGCTGACCAGATAACCTATCCTAATTTGAACCTTGTTTTAGAATTGGTAATAGGAATGAGTCATCAACAGGTTCATTTCTTTCTGCTCACATTCTGCGAGTAATTTCTTTCATTCCAGCCATTGTGTGTATATACATGTATGTTTATTCCTAGCTTTTTCTTCCAGCCCGCCTTTCTCTGGCTCAGACCCAATGAAGACTTACAATGTGATATTAAAGGGCATTGATGTGATTGAATTTCCACGAAAGATTGGACGAAATGCCCATACACTCATCAAGAAGTTGTGTCGGGAAAACCCGGCGGAAAGACTAGGTTATGGCAAAAACGGAATAATGGAGATTAAGAAACACAAGTGAGTTGCTAAGCACCATCAATGGCCATGCACATCCTTTCCTAATTGGATGTAATTTGGCTTCAGAGAATCAAAATCAGATGTTTGTCAGCTAATAATTGAAATCTGGATGTGAGCATACTTGCTGTGAAGCTGTGATATGGATGGGTATGGTGTGATCTGGTGATCAATCGTTACATAGAGAGTCTGTGTGGACATGGGCAATAATATACTCAGAATATCTAAACAAATGATGAATTATGACACAGTGAGTTTATGTAGATACAGTGATCCCTCGCTACAACGCTACCTTCGGGGTCCAAATAATTGATGAGCGTTATGGATGATCAGCGGTTTAACGAAGGTCGAGTTGTAGGTGGTAGATGACCAACAGAACAGTATACATACTCTGCCTACCTAACACAATCTACGTTGCACGTTTCTGAGTTTCAAAAAGAATAGAATAGAAGTTACTTATGATTCATAGTGTAAAAAAAGATTTATTGAGTATTAATATGCGCTTTAATAAAAAAAAAACATCGTATCCCTTCAGGTGAATAAGCAGGTAGATCTATAACAAACTTGGTCAATAAAAGTATGAAATTTGATATAAAGCATCACCAGACATGATGATTTACTATTTGAAATGTATTTCCTGCTCTCAAAGGCATTGTTTTATATGCAGAGATTAAGATAACCGTGTGTATTTTCTTGTAAACTAAGCTGGAAATAGCAATCAGCTGTGCATGCGCTTCCTCCCAATGTACCGGTGATTCAATTAAAACGTACCCAGTGATACCACTTTAAAAACATTTGATGCAATGGTCAGAAGAAATTGTATCTGAAATTATTATTTTATCGGTAATAACATATTCCAATATTATGTTATTTTAGTTGCAGCTTCCACCATATATACTTAAAATTATAAGAACCGCAAGCATGGCACTTAGGTAGAGATTGTATGCAGGATATTTTTTTACGTATGAAACGATTTGACCAGTCATCGTAGGGAATTCCCGCGCAACATGTTTTTTGATTACGAAAACGTTATGTTGACATTTAATAGTCAAACTGTCTCAAATATGACTTTTAGCGATTTATGGTACAGCATTTATAATATGTGTAACCATTCTCTTGCAACTAAAGTTCGTTTCAAGACATCAATAGCGGTAATCTGACCGTGGTTATTGAATGAAATTTTGAATATAATTAAAAAAATATATTGCAAACATTAGTCCAGATAAACAATGAACATTTTCTTTTATAACAAGATATTAAAATAATAGGATTAAATTGCGTACTTCAGTTCGGATTTGTTGACTGGTATTGCCAGTGTTAGGTGATTGCGGTGATCAGCTGATAATGTTTTCTGTGATGGGGGAAAACATTGTGTCATTGGAAAACTTGAGTTTATTAAAAATGTTAGTAAATTTTGGGGGCCATGCGCGCTATAACCGAGTTTGCACTATATTGAAGGGCGCAATAACGAGGGAACACTGTATGATGAACTATGACAAAGTGAGTCTATGTAGATATGATAAATTAGGACTCATCGAGTTTATGTAGATAAAATGAATTATGACACAGTGAGTCCATATAGATATGATGCATATAGACAGAGTGAGTCTATGTAAATATGATGAATTATGACACAGTGAGTCCATATAGATATGATGCATATAGACAGAGTGAGTCTATGTAAATATGATGAATTATAACACAGTGAGTCCATATAGATATGATGCATATAGACAGAGTGAGTCTATGTAAATATGATGAATTATGACACAGTGAGTCCATATAGATATGATGCATATAGACAGAGTGAGTATATGTAAATATAATGAATTATGACACAGTCAGTCCATATAGATATGATGCATATAGACAGAGTGAGTCTATGTAAATATGATGAATTATGACACAGTGACTCCATATAGATATGATGAATTATGACACAGTGAGTCTACATGGATGTGAATTGATAGTGAGTCTATATAGACATGAAGAATTGTGACTGCAAACATGATGAATAATGACAGTGTCTGTATACAGATGATGAATCATAAAACAGAGTTATTTATGTCTATGTAATTAGTTACAACACAGTATGTGTAGATAGATAGATAGATAGATAGATAAATAGATAAATAGATGAGATAAATTGTGACACAGTAAATGTTAATAAGATGCGTTATGACACGCCAGTATGTATAGATATGATCAATTAAGATACAGTCTATATACATATATTGATTTGAGAGAGTATATATATGATGAGCACTCTATATGACTTGGAACCCAGTGCAAGGTAGTCTTTCATGAACTTAGTGCAAGGTAGTCTTTAATGAACGCAGTGCAAGGTAGTCTTTCATGAATGCAGTGCAAGGTCTTTCATGAATGCAGTGCAAGATAGTCTTCAATGAACTTAGTGCAAGGTAGTCTTTCATGAATGCAGTGCAAGATAGTCTTTCATGAACGCAGTACAAGATAGTCTTTCATGAATGCAGTGCAAGGTCTTTCATAAACTTAGTGCAAGATAGTCTTTAATGAACTTAGTGCAAGGTAGTCTTTCATGAACTTAGTGCAAGATAGACTTTCATGAACTTAGTGCAAGGTAGTCTTTCATGAACTAAGTGCAATGTAGTCTTTCATGAACGAAGTGCAAGGTAGTCTTTCAAGAACTTAGTGCAAGATAGTCTTTCATGAACTTAGTGCAAGGTAGTCTTTCATGTACTTAGTGCAAGATAGTCTTTCATGAATGCAGTGCAAGGTAGTCTTTCATGAATGCAGTGCAAGGTAGTCTTTCATGAATGCAGTGCAAGGTAGTCTTTCATGAACTTAGTGCAAGATAGTCTTTCATGAACTTAGTGCAAGGTAGTCTTTCGTGAACTTAGTGCAAGATAGTCTTTCATGAACTTAGTGCAAGGGAGTCTTCCATGAACGCAGTGCAAGGTAGTCTTTCATGTACTAAGTGCAAGGAAGTCTTTCATGAACGCAGTGCAAGGTAGTCTTTCATGAATGCAGTGCAAGTTAGTCTTTCATGAATGCAGTGCAAGGTAGTCTTTCATGAACTTAGTGCAAGATAGTCTTTCATGAACGCAGTCGGGTATTCTTTCATGTACTTAGTGCAATGTAGTCTTTCATGAACTTAGTGCAAGTTAGTCTCTCATGAACTTAGTGCAAGGTAGTCTCTCATGAACGCAGTGCAAGATAGTCTTTCATTAACTTAGTGCAAGGTAATCTTTTATGAATGCAGTGCAAGGTAGTCTTTTATGTACTTAATGCAAGGTAGTCTTTCATGAACGCAGTGCAAGATAGTCTTTCATGAATGCAGTGCAAGATAGTCTTTCATGAACTTAGCGCAAGGTAGTCTTTCATGAACTCAGTGCAAGGAAGTCTTTCATTTTTATAAGATTCAATCTTGTACCTTGCCAGTGTACTCAAGTGATGATCTCATTCCTTGCAGGTGGTTCCAAGGCTTCGACTGGGATGGTTTGAGCAAATACTCAATGGTACCTCCAATTGTTCCCAAGGTGAGGTGGTGTTTAGCAGATCTGGGATAATGATTTAACATTCCAGCTTTGAATGTGTTTTTTTCTTACACTCTATTATTACAGTTATGTCCTGTATGTATACAGTTATATCTTGTATGTATAGTTATATTTTTTATGTATACAGTTATATCTTGTATGCATAGTTATATTTTGTATGTTTAGTTATATTTTTTATGTATAGTTATATCCTATATGTATACAGTTGTATCCTATATGTATAGTTATATCATGTATGTATAGTTATATCCTGTATGTATAGTTATATCCTGTATGTATAGTTATATCAAGTATGTATAGTTATATCCTGTATGTAGTTATATCCTGTATGTATAGTTACATCATGTATGTATAGTTATATCAAGTATGTATAGTTATATCATGTATGTATAGTTATATCAAGTATGTATAGTTATATCAAGTATGTATAGTTATATCCTGTATGTATAGTTATATCATGTATGTATAGTTATATCCTGTATGTATAGTTATATCCTGTATGTATAGTTATATCAAGTATGTATAGTTATATCCTGTATGTATAGTTATATCAAGTATGTATAGTTATATCCTTTATGTAGTTATATCCTGTATGTATAGTTACATCATGTATGTATAGTTATATCAAGTATGTATAGTTATATCATGTATGTATAGTTATATCAAGTATGTATAGTTATATCAAGTATGTATAGTTATATCCTGTATGTATAGTTATATCATGTATGTATAGTTATATCCTGTATGTATAGTTATATCCTGTATGTATAGTTATATCCTGTATGTATAGTTATATCAAGTATGTATAGTTATATCCTGTATGTAGTTATATCCTGTATGTATAGTTACATCATGTATGTATAGTTATATCAAGTATGTATAGTTATATCATGTATGTATAGTTATATCAAGTATGTATAGTTATATCCTGTATGTAGTTATATCCTGTATGTATAGTTAAATCCTGTGTGTATAGTTATATCAAGTATGTATAGTTATATCCTGTGTGTAGTTATATCCTGTATGTATAGTTGTATTTTGTATGTATAGTTATATCCTGTATGTATAGTTATATTTTGTATGTATAGTTATATCCTGTGTGTAGTTATATCCTGTATGTATAGTTGTATTTTGTATGTATAGTTATATCCTGTATGTATAGTTATATCCTGTATGTATAGTTATATCCTGTATGTATAGTTATATTTTGTATTGGTTCCTCTAACTTTCTGCCTGTCATGTTGCAGATCAAAAGTCCGTGTGACTTCAGCAACTTCGACAACTACCCCGCCGACATGGACATTCCACCAGATGAAAACTCAGGCTGGGACGCCAGCTTCTAGATCACTTGCCACCATCCTGTCCATCGCCATCATCGCCATCTTCATCGTCAGAGCGTCATGTACAGACTTCACTTCTCGCCATCACCTCATGCCTTCTCACGCCATCAGCAGCACTACATTATGCAGTCACATGACAGAGCGCACGTCACATTACCTGCCATGTCACATGAGAGGGGTCAGTTGCATCACATGATCTGCCTTGTTTGTTGTCACATGGTAGGAAAGCCATCATTGCTGTGTGCCTGGATACAATCAAGTATTAGTGAGGACTTCTTCACCATCATATTGTTATGAAAGTTGTGTACATCTGAATCTGTAGCTTGGCCAATTCTTGATCTGTAGATGTATTGGATGTATGACAGAACCTGGGCTACATTCTAATAGGAGTAGGTGCTGCTTATGTTGGTACTGGTGGGTGCAACATCACTAGATATAGATTGATTGATGTAGGTGGTAAATTCCCTGCACTGATGTAGGTGTATGCAGAATAAACTCCCTGCACTGTGAGAGTTGCTGGATAAATTCCATGCACTGTGACAGTTGCTGGGTAAATTCCTTGCACCGTGAGAGTTGCTGGATGTATTCCCTGCACTGTGACAGTTGCTGGGTAAATTCCTTGCACTGATGTAGATATATGCTGGGTAAATTCCCTGCACTGATGTAGGTGTATGCTGAATAAACTCCCTGCACTGTGAGAGTTGCTGGATAAATTCCATGCACTGTGAGAGTTGCTGGGTAAATTCCTTGCACTGTGAGAGTTGCTGGATGTATTCCCTGCACTGTGACAGTTGCTGGGTAAATTCCCTTCGCTGATGTAGATATATGCTGGGTAAATTCCCTGCACTGATGTAGGTGTATGCTGAATAAACTCCCTGCACTGTGAGAGTTGCTGGATGTATTCCCTGCACTGTGAGAGTTGCTGGGTAAATTCCTTGCACTGTGAGAGTTGCTGGATGTATTCCCTGCACTGTGACAGTTGCTGGGTAAATTCCCTGCGCTGATGTAGATATATGCTGGGTAAATTCCCTGCACTGATGTAGGTGTATGCTGAATAAACTCCCTGCACTGTGAGAGTTGCTGGATGTATTCCCTGCACTGTGAGAGTTGCTGATCTCATAGCATAATCATAAACTCCTTGATATGATCTCAGCTCATTCCTTTCTTCACACAACAAACGACCTGGATAGTAGGGGAGGTAACTGAAGGAGACAGTTATGTTAAGTTGTAGAAGGGCTATTGCCATACATTGGGAGGATAGGGGCTGTAGTGGGTGCTAGCACATTCCACAACATTCACATGTCAATGTTGAATTTAGAAAGTGCTGGTATTTTCGTAGTATTTTTCATTTTGGAATATTCAATACTGATGTTCTCTTGTAAGAAAGATACATCCACAACTGTCCAAATAACAGCATTCATCTTTTTTTTGCTGATGTGATTGCAGAAATTCTGTGTGCTCATCCTTTTCAAATGTCTGTTAAACATGCCAAAACTGCCAACAATCTTCCATTTCTTACCAGAGTATCACTAGAGATTCAATCATCAGCAGGGACAAATGTAATGTTTTATGAGACTCAACAATTACACTGACAACTGCATATTTCATTGAAAAATAATGATGAGTTTTGGTTCCATATTAGGTTATTGTTTTTTTTGCCAGAACACTGTTTGAACCTGTTTTCTGCTTTCCAACATGTCAACCAACATGTTACCATCCACCTGACATGCAGAGTTATCTCCCATGCTCAATCGCATTTAGAGTAGTCTGCCCATATTTCCAGTGATCCTGGATCCTGGATGATTCTCAAGTAAAACAGTGTATGCAAGTAATGACAGCCTGAGGATGGCATTTCTTCAGGAGCTACTGATATTATGGAATTTTTTGAATATTTGGATATTTCTAGTAAAGTATTACACTTTAGAAATATAACATTAGCCACATATTAGCAAATGTACACATGTATGGTTCTTTCCTACAAATCAAGTTCTCCCATGGATGTCATGATCAGCATTAGCAGAATGACAAACTCAGGTTTAGATATAGCTGTTACCAGTTACCTTGTCATGTCACTTTTTTGTACCTGTTAAAGATGGGACCTGCTTCTCTGTTGGCTGAGGAAGCAGGGTACCATGATCAATGTGGGACCGCCATGTTGTTCAGTGTCACATAAAGCGATCGACATTTATTAGAATTTGAATAAAAAATATAAAAATACCACACCACACCACACCACACCACACCCCACCACACCACACCACACCACACACACACACACACACACACACACACACACACACACACACACACACACACACACACAAACACACACATCTAAAGAAATCTACATGGTATGGCTTGGATTAGTATGAATATAGCATAGAAGCTCCAGTATTGACAATACTCTCAAGTCTGCCATGCTTGCTTGGATACGACATGTTGGTTATATATCACTCTAGTGTTTGTTATGAATGATGTACTGTTTATCATATCTGATATTATTTTTCCTGTGATATTGTTGTTAATGGTGTTTATTGTGATACAGATTTGATGACAGGGGTCATGTATTACTACATGTCACAGCCTCTCCACGTTGTACACACACAGTTCCTTGTTTGTCTAGACATCATGGACACAGTGAGATATACAGACCATGTCCATCACAACCTGTAATTGTTGCTGGGTTGTGGGGAGGGGTAGGAATGTATGTCTGTATCAGCAATTATTCTCAGGAATGATCAATCAACCTAAACTTATAATATACTATTTAAAGAAGTTAAAGAACACCCATGACAGATTAACTATAGTCATTTGAAAACGTACACTCTCATATCTGTCTGTGACTGACTTCAGTGTTGATATGATAGAATTTTCATGCCAGTACTTTCAGATTGTTATTATTGTTTTACTGATAGATATATATGGATACAACTAACTCATGATGGAGCATTTTTGAAGGTGATCTTTTGTAATGCTGTAAATATGCTGTCTTGCATTTTTTCTGATAATTAAAAGATAAGTCTAAATTTTTTAAACCTTGTTTTTAGTTTGAATAGCTGGAACCTTACAGATTTTTGTTCTGTTTGTTATTACAGTCTTGTTAACATGGTGTACCATATTCTGTATGCTGATATATGAATACCAGCATACTGATGTGTGTATATGTGTATGTTCATATAAGAGTACTCATATGCTGATTTTTTTATATACTCACTGCCAAAAGAAACATGAATACCATACATGTTGGTTGATATATGAAGAATTACTCCTATTCAAGAGTTATTAGATTGGTTTCCATACATAAACGAAACATCTCTCCTTAATGTATGTACTTCTCTATGTGTGTCTATGGGTCGTGTTTCTGTTGGCGGTGAGTATATATGCTAATACGTGTATGTGTGTATGTTAATATCAGAGTACACATTGGCTGATATGTAATACTGATATATGCGTCCACAATTACTGTGTGCGCAGGTGGTGACATGGCCTAGTTGTGTATTGTTGCATGGTGATAGGCCATCTGTTTACATATATATACATATAGTTGACATAATTTTAGGTATATTTTGTTTCAGTGTCTTTACTTCTGATTCCAGATGCAATTACTTATGGGTATGATTTAATGAGTTTTGTAAACACATTTAGATATTGGGTTATCTGTTGTGTTGCTGTAGAACTAGTGGATCGTCATAGTCTAGGTGCTGGTGTATCTCATTGTCGTAACATTTACCTCACATATTCAGTTCATGAAAGATATTGTGAGTCTCAAGGGTGAAGACTATTTGTTTATGTTTGTGTGGAAGTACAGACATGTCAGGAACACTAAGTTGCACATCTTATAATGTTGAGATCTTTCTTTTTGCCTAGCACACACTAACAGTATAGATACTAACAAGCAACTAGTTCCGATCCCATGCATGAGAATAAGGGATATCCCAACCGACTACCTGAGTCATGGTACCATATGCATCACAAGACACAGCTTTGAGAGACCTCCCTTGGTGGTAGTTCAGTATTGAAGCATATTAACAACTAGAAGAAATTTATATGAAACAAACTGATCAAAAAATTCAATGTTATATATTTGTTTGAATCTGTGTTGTTTTGCCCTAGTACTTCTTCTACTGGATATGACTTTTTCTGCTCTGTCTGAAGAATATATAAGTTTTCAAGCCTTTCTGCGCCAATAAGTTATCAGTTTGGTGTATCATTGAATAAAAGAATTATCCCACTCATTAAGATTGAATAAAATACTATAACCCAGAGGAAGTATCTGTTCAGATTATAGTGACATAGTACATACAGTGTTTGACACTGACCAAAATATGTGAGCATGCGTAATTGGAATGAAGAAGGTAACCACTGTACCACGCAGGCTTGTTTAGGATGTCGGTGTTGATCTATCATACAAACTAAAATTGCTTTACTCATGCTCAAAAAAACACTAGACAACCGGACCAGCATGTATTTAATTTTACTGGCCCTTAAGGAAATGTACTAGACTCGGACCAGCAGACCAGTGATAGTGTCGAACACTGCTGTCATAGTATACATATTGTGTGATCTTGGACTTTGGACCATTTCTGTAATCTCAAACATAAACATCACTTGCTAGTACAATCCATACTTAGATGACAATGTTGGCATCATTCTCTAACAATACATACCCAGGTGACTATCTCTGCATCATTCTCAAAATGCATACAACAGTGACCATCTCAGTGACCATCTTGGCATCATTCCCTCACAATCCAAACCTAGCTGACCATCTTGGCATCATTCTCTAACAATCCAAACCTAGCTGACCATCTTGGCATCATTCCCTCACAATCCAAACCTAGCTGACCATCTTGGCATCATTCCCTAACAATCCAAACCTAGCTGACCATCTTGGCATCATTCTCTAACAATCCAAACCTAGCTGACCATCTTGGCATCATTGTCCTAGTGGCCATCTTGGTATCATTCTCTAACAATCCAAACCTAGCTGACCATCTTGGCATCATTCCCTAACAATCCAAACCTAGCTGACCATCTTGGCATCATTCTCTAACAATCCAAACCTAGCTGACCATCTTGGCATCATTCTCCTACTTGGCCATCTTGGTATCATTCCCAAACAATCCAAACCTAGCTGACCATCTTGGCATCATTCTCCTACGTGGCCATCTTGGTACCATTCCCTAACTATCCAAACCTAGCTGACCATCTTGGTATCATTCCCTAACACTCCAAAGCTAGGTGACCATCTTGGCATCATTGTCCTAGTGGCCATCTTGGTATCATTCTCCTAGGTTGCCATCTTGGTATCATTCTCCTAGGTTCCCATCTTGGTATCATTCTCCTAGCTGACCATCTTGGTATCATTCTCCTAGCTGACCATCTTGGTATCATATTGCTAGGTGGCCATCTTGGTATCATTCTCTTACGTGGCCATTTTGGTATCATTCTCCTAGGTGGCCACCTTGGTATCTCTCCTTGAAGACCATTTTGGCATCATTATCTGACACAGTCCATACCTTGTTGACCATCTTTGCATCATTTATTCTACATGGCAAATTTGATATCTGTGTCTGCATTACCTTATTACATGGACGCATAAATGACTGTGTATCTTATCCTCAGTAATATCTTCTCTTAAACATAGGTAGGTTATATAGTATAGACCTTATTACTGGGTATTTGTAGATCAAACAAGAAGTTCATTTGTAAGACAATCTTCTCTTCCATTTTCTCTTCCTCCCCCTCACCTAGACTAGAGTATGCATCACATGTAGAAGTGTTTCACATCCCTCAGCAGTGTTATATTGGAGTGTATTGATTATCCAGATGTGGAATAATACAGACAGTGTTATGGTGTTATGTAGCTGTTGAATAATGCCAGTGGTGTAAAAGTGGAGCATGGGAAAGTAGCTCAATTTAATATTTTGGTAGCATTATATCAGTTTCATATCTTGATATTTACCTAAGTATTCATATCTTGATATGTACCTAAGTATTTATATCTGGATATGTACTTAACTATTCATATCTGGATATGTACGTAACTATTCATATCTGGCAATTACATAACACATATCAAAATATCCACACACTTATGTGGTATTTTCTGAAATATACATTCCATATCACATTGTATTACGCTACCAGTTTTTTTAAAAGCGCTTTGTTTAAGGATTGGGGTAAGAAACTTCCATATGTTCATGTAAGAGAAACTATGATTACTGAAACAAATCTACAAAAAACAAGTAACATTGGTGAACTCTTGATCACACCTATCAGTTCATGGCTGTATTATCACACACCTCTAGTGTTGTGTTGAATGGAGCCAGCTGAGCACTGTACCACTTTGTTGTAGGAACCTATGCAATGTAGTTAGTCAATGGATACAGGTGTACAGGGATTATCAGCATTATGTGTTGGGTATTGTCCGCTGTGTGTGCTTCTTTATGGTTCGAAACATTTGGATTCCTTCACAGAGAGCATTTCCCTCTCTGGTTTGGTGATACGTTCTTCCCACTAGGAGGTATGGCTTGAGGACTGCTTTCCTTTCATGAGGGGAGAAACACATGCAACTGTGGCTAGGTAGGCCACATGGAGGCTTTGAAACACTTCTAATGACAACATTGTAATTGTAGTCAGACTGGATCACATGATCAAGTCATGTGACCTGTGACCTGAAAGCTGAACTGTGACCTAGCCACATCCAGATTATATTTTTATATTACAAGGCTACTGCTAGTCTTTGATTGCATCATGTTAGATTGAATAAATCTGTTGACATATTCATATTAAACTTTTTTGTATGTTGTCTTTTCCATCAGCTTTGTAGAAGACATCAGTGACAGGATCAGGACCTCAGTTTCTTTCATTTGTTTTCTTTTTTGGTGATGCTGATGCATCTTTTTGCCTGAATAAGGACAGTGGGATTGATTGCTATATCTTGCATGCTTTGCTACAATCTCTCATTGAAAAGTGAGGCTTCACCAAATACACCCCATACAATGTTAGGCTGGGATTTTGTAATGGGTTATTTTTTTATTTTGTTTGTCCACTTTCATTTTCAAACAACTTCGTAGAAGACATTGATGGATTGTGACCAGATCAGGTCCTCAGTAGAGATTGTCCTTGACCTTCACACAAAACAAGGATATACTTGACATGTGATAGTTGGCATGACTACCTGAATGATATTTTGCACCACAGTCCAGGATGGGACAGGATATCTGTGTGACTTGAGAGTAACCAGTCACACCAGTGGTTGAATCTATGAGCAATTATCCCAGGCAGTGATGACTTGACATTACATCACTGCCACATGCTAATTTGCATATCACATGACCTGACTTCATCTAGACAGTAAACAAACGCTGCATGTATAAACTGAAATCAGAGCAGTGGTAAACAAATACACGAAGTAGCTAAATTAATTTTTTTTAACTTTTGACAAGTATTTTCACTTACGTCCCTTTCATGCATTGTGCACTTATGTCCCATTCATGCAATATTCACTTACGTCAAGCTCATGCAATATGCATTTACGTCCCACTCATACAATATTCACTAACGTCCCACTCATACAATATTCACTTACGTCCCACTCATACAATGTTCACTTACGTCCCACTCATACAATATTCAATTACGTCCCACTCATACAATTTTCAATTACGTCCCACTCATACAATATTCACTAACGTCCCACTAATACAACATTCACTAATGTCCCACTCATGCATTATTCACTTATGTCAAGCTCATGCAAGATACATTTACGTCCCACTTACGTCCCATTCATACAATATCCACTGATATCGCACTCATAGAATATTCAATTACGTCCCAGTCATACAATATTCACTTACGTCCCAGTCATACAATATTCACTTACATCAAACTCATACAATATTCACTTACATCACACTCATACAATATTCACTGATGTCCCACTCATACCATATTCCGTTACGTCCCATTCATACAATATTTACTTACGTCCCATTCATACAATATTCAGTTAACTCACACTCATACAATATTCACTTACGTCCCACCCATACAATTTTCACTTATATCCCCCTCATACAATATTCACTTACGTCCCACTCATACATTATTCACTTACTTTCCGGTCATCAAATATACTCTATGCACTAAGGTCCAACTCATGCTCTATGCACTTACGGTCCCATCCATACACTATTCACTTTCGTCTCATTCATACAATATTCACTTACGTCCTACTCATTCAATATTCACTTACGACACACTCCTACAGTATGCACTTACGTCCCACTCATTCAATATTCACTTACGTCCCACTCATTCAGTTTTCACTTACGTCCCACTCATTCAAAATTCACTTACGTCCCACTCATTCAGTTTTCTCTTACGTCCCACTCATTCAGTTTTCACTTACGTCCCACTCATTCAAAATTCACTTACGTCCCACTCATTCAGTTTTCTCTTACGTCCCACTCATTCAGTTTTCACTTACGTCCCACTCATTCAGTTTTCACTTACGTCCCACTCATTCAGTCTTCTCTTACGTCCCACTCATTCAGTTTTCACTTACGTCCCACTCATTCAGTCTTCTCTTACGTCCCACTCATTCAGTTTTCACTTACGTCCCACTCATTCAGTTTTCACTTACGTCCCACTCATTCAGTCTTCTCTTACGTCCCACTCATTCAGTTTTCACTTACGTCCCACTCATTCAGTCTTCTCTTACGTCCCACTCATTCAGTTTTCACTTACGTCCCACTCATTCAGTTTTCACTTACGTCCCACTCATTCAGTCTTCTCTTACGTCCCACTCATTCAGTTTTCACTTACGTCCCACTCATTCAGTTTTCACTTACGTCCCACTCAGTCAGTCTTCTCTTACGTCCCACTCATTCAGTTTTCACTTACGTCCCACTCATTCAGTTTTCACTTACGTCCCACTCATTCAGTTTTCACTTACGTCCCACTCATTCAGTCTTCTCTTACGTCCCACTCATTCAATATTCACTTACGTCCCACTCATTCAATATTCACTTACGTCCCACTCATTCAGTTTTCTCTTACGTCCCACTCATTCAGTTTTCACTTACGTCCCACTCATTCAGTTTTCTCTTACGTCCCACTCATTCAGTTTTCACTTACGTCCCACTCATTCAGTTTTCACTTACGTCCCACTCATTCAGTTTTCACTTACGTCCCACTCATTCAGTTTTCACTTACGTCCCACTCATTCAGTCTTCTCTTACGTCCCACTCATTCAGTTTTCACTTACGTCCCACTCATTCAGTCTTCTCTTACGTCCCACTCATTCAGTTTTCACTTACGTCCCACTCATTCAGTTTTCACTTACGTCCCACTCATTCAGTCTTCTCTTACGTCCCACTCATTCAGTTTTCACTTACGTCCCACTCATTCAGTTTTCACTTACGTCCCACTCAGTCAGTCTTCTCTTACGTCCCACTCATTCAGTTTTCACTTACGTCCCACTCATTCAGTTTTCACTTACGTCCCACTCATTCAGTTTTCACTTACGTCCCACTCATTCAGTCTTCTCTTACGTCCCACTCATTCAATATTCACTTACGTCCCACTCATTCAATATTCACTTACGTCCCACTCATTCAGTTTTCTCTTACGTCCCACTCATTCAGTTTTCACTTACGTCCCACTCATTCAGTTTTCTCTTACGTCCCACTCATTCAGTTTTCACTTACGTCCCACTCATTCAGTTTTCACTTACGTCCCACTCATTCAGTTTTCACTTACGTCCCACTCATTCAGTTTTCACTTACGTCCCACTCATTCAGTTTTCTCTTACGTCCCACTCATTCAGTTTTCACTTACGTCCCACTCATTCAGTTTTCACTTACGTCCCACTCATTCAGTTTTCACTTACGTCCCACTCATTCAGTTTTCACTTACGGTCCCCGCGTTTAAACTAAAAGGTGTAGTCAAAGTGCAATGATCAAGCTGGAAGGTTGTTATTTATATAATGGAGGAGGATAAACATGCTCCAAAACTGACCGGCAGAATAAAAACTCGAAATCATTTGTCATTCACCATATACATCACAAGATTTAGAATTCTCACATAAAAACACCGGTATTCCCTCAGACGTTTGTAATTTGATAAACACATTTTGCAGAATCGCCCAGTTAAGAGATGCATGCACGCCTGGGGTCTTACCTTCTGGCGCTTCCTCCTTTTGTCCTTTAGGTGAGACGAAGAGTGAGGCTCGCCAATAAGGGTGTCTTTACTGGGTATATATCTATTCCTTATTAAAAAAACATGATCACAAAAGTTCTGAGAATCGTGATGGGTTTTACTGACAAGCGTAAAAAAACTCAAAAACATAATTCTAAAACGTAAGATCAGTCTTCTTGTACCGTAAAAGTATTATGTAAAACAACGAACAAAACACTGAAAAGTAACGCTAGAATTTGCTTCTTATACTAAAGTTTGAGATGGTGGTCGATCCAAGTTGTTGTGGTAAATACAAGCGACAAACCCCTTTCCTTAACCATAATTCTAAAAGCATTGTACTACTCCGATACACCATAACCATGTAGTTATGTATCACTATCAAATAGTGATTATACCAGGTGTTCGCGAAAAGGTGAGCGTATCCTACCCCATCGGTGGCACGCGTCATAAACACACGCAGATGCAAGTCAAGTGTTCATCTAAAAAAAACACGGATACATGTGGTACAAGTCTAAATAGAGAATTTCGTCGGACATCATTTGGGTCTCTGCTCAATGCGTCAAATTTGGAAATGTCCTCCACATGTCTCCAATTCAACTTTTTGAAAGCTTTACTGAGGCCTTGGATGCTATAACCCTGATCAAACAATATTTTAGCAAGCGTCGTAAAACACTTAGAAATATTTGAAGAAAGAGCAATGTTCCGCTTGATTTAGTCTGCCGTACAGACCCTGAAGCAAATATACAGCCTATAATGTTTGGCAAGTCTAGATTACTGCAGTATCTTCTGAAAATGAAGAAAGGCTCCTTTTTATTATGTTTTATAACTATAATTTAACAACTGTTTTTTTCTGTAAAATATGTTCATTTCAGAGAATAGATGTTAGACTACGCTTGATTGTACCTCAAAGGTTGAGGGACGTATGGACACGAAAGGATGGAGATGCTGGAATAGTGCAGATACTATAGATTTTACAGCCGCTTCCTTCACTAGAGGGGCCGTTTCATGGCACAAGCTGATTTGTTTGTTTGTTGTCAGCAATATTCCAGCTATATGTCGGTGGTCTGTAAATAATCGAGTCTGGGCCAGATAGTCCAGTGATTGACATCATGAGCATCGACCCACACAATTGGGATACGATGACATGCATCAACCAAGTCACCCCATCCCGTTAGTCGCCTCTTACGACAAGCATAGTCGCCTTTTATGGCAAGCAAGGGTTGCTGAAGACCTATTCCATCCCTAATTTTCACGGGTCTGGCACAAGCAGAACATGCAAGTTATCTCTGCATATATGTTGCACCCGAATTCAATTTTACGATCGTAAATATCTACATGTAGTCCAGCAATAGTCCAGCTATATCCCGGGGGCCCGTAAATAACATAGTCTGAGTCACACAAGTAGTAGGCTGAGAGCATGAGCTACGATACTGTCAGCCACATGACACATTTAAACCACCGTATCCCCTTTTCATGTAATTATTCAGCAATGAACTCTCACTTCACAGCATATAATAAAGTTATTTATTGTCGAACCCAAATTATACATAAGGCCAAGTATCGTAGAGGTATAATTTGATTCATGTACATGCGTTGCCGGTATAGATTAATATCGAAGCCTCTCCCATGTAACACCGTTCGAACTAGAAACTATGATATCTTCATAACATATTGAACCCAGCTGTGCTTCCTTGTTTACCAAGCAGAACCAAACACGTGTTCGGCTACTTCACCAAGACGTAACATACAACAACAATAATAATAACAACAACAATAATAATACATTCGATCAATATTTTTTTTTCCATATCGTTCACTTACGCAATAAAACATTAAAAACGAAATGTGTCCTTTAAATTCCCCCCAAAATCAAATGAAAATAAAAACATAATTAGCAGGAAAATTCTGAATACTTAAAGATACTAGTTTTCGGGGCTTCAGAACACTTTTCTGTTTCATTTTCGGGAGATTTATCAATACATTGAGTTTTCTTGCTTAAAGTTATTGGGAGTTTCGATAAGTTTGTACTTCTTATTTTCACTTATTGTGCAGTTAATACGTAATTACTCCAGCAGGTATCATTAATCTTAATACATTGGTTATCTCTCTATCTGTCATGTCATAGAACTAGTCGTGATCGATTAAAACCCGTTATAGTCCAGCACGACAACACATATATTATAACACGGGTGCCACTTGAGTCGATACATATAGTCTGTAAGACTTACATAGACTCATTGGTGAGACGTAGGCTTCTCTGTCAGCCTCCATTCAATTAACTGATGTGACACGTTCGCAGTATTTTGAAGCGGGACTATATGCTCTACGGTGAGGAGTGAATCACCCTGCTTGGACCGCCAGAGGGCGTGAGACTACTGTCCACGGTTTTAAAGATATTCCGCAATTGGGGAAAACAAAACAATATACCACCTGCTACAGTAGATACTATTTGTTCTTATTATTAGGTCTCGCGAACGGGCTACTACATATAACAGTTTGATTGGCATTCTAGAAGCTGGTGAGTAAGAAAACGTACAACTTCATAGATAACTTCTGGTGGATCCAATCAGCTTGTCACATAATCCTTGTCCTTATTGTACATCTGGCTTCACTACCGTCCGCTTCATTACTTGCGTGCTATGTGTTATTCTTACTGTACATTTGGCTTCATCCAATTATCTGTATGTAACTTGTTATCTATTACCTGTTGATGTCAATGTTAATCTGCTGCTTATCACAACATGCCATGCATATACATGTGTACCTCTCATCGCTTGGCTGTTGTCACTTGATGACGGTGTAAAAATCTACATCGAAACGTCACTGTATGCAATAAACAAGAAGCTGTTACCCATAAAGCTGTACGTTTTCTTACTATATATCTCTGAACAAGGGAGACAGTTCTGTGGATATACAACTCCTTTATCACAACAAATGCGACGTTTCGGTGTAGATGCTTACCCCGTTATCAAGAAAGTGATGTGAACCATCTCCTTGTTCACCATACCAACTTATAAATGCCACTTAAAGCGCGTCCGCACACACACACACACACACACACACACACACACCATCGAACCGCATCGTCGATGACGTTGATCTTAAATTCAAATGTGTGTTCAATAATCGTAGCAACAGTTTTTGTTGTATACAAATAAGGGATCTCGGAGTGGACTGCATGATCACACTAACTGTTTGATTAACATTCTGGAAGTTGGTGGGTAAGTAAGAAAACGAACAACGTACGTCATGGATAACGACTTCTGGTTTATTGCCTACAGCGACATGACACTATTGTGACACAACCATTATGTTCTTCAGAGCTCTGCAGTATTTGTGACATGTGAGTAGTGCGTCCAGCAAACAAACACTCATAAGCATCACAGTGGTTACGACGGAAGATATACACAGACAATAAAGATTGTCAGGTCGCTTATGGACAGAGCTGTCGTGTTTATCTAAAGCCATTTACATAACGGGTGCGCCTTGCACACCGGATTAACAAGTTTGTCAGCGACCAACAACAGTTATTATAATAACACTATAGTAATGTCTATTTTCTCCATTGGTAATGCTAATAAACCTGTAGGCTATTACTTATGTAGGCCCACACAATTATAGTCAAAGACCGTAACACTTCGGTGACGACACTTCCCAAGCCACACGTAACCGAGATATATTTAGGATACAACGCACACCGGTCTACATAACAGCTTTATTGGCACATAGACCGGTATATATATATATTTATTACTTGCCCGTGAAGAGATCACCCGTTTAATAAACATACAGCTGTATTACACATTGTGAAATACCAAAACGCGTGCTTATGTACTCTCGGAACACGTTTCTAGAACAAATATTGAAAGCTCTTAACATCCCTTGGCTTATTCAACGACTTTGCGTGTGGAGATAATAGATCACTGAGAGGAGCTTATGCACACTCGATGACCCCAGCAACCTTTGTTGCTAGGCTGACGTCACATGGCATTGTTTCGCCGAAGGATCTTGCAACAAATTTCCACAAATTACGTCATCGGGTATTGTGACGTGATTGTAGACTTTGAGATGCAAGGCCCCGTTCCACAAGGCGATCGTACTGTAGCGCAACGACAGTCGTTGGTCTAAGTTAAAGTATGTGAGTTGCGATAACCTAACGCTACAATAATTTTGTGGAACGGACGCCTGAATTCTAAAGGTGGGCCGTTGTATGGTATTAAAATCATACGTTTCAACTTTTGACGTGTTTGAAGTTATGTGAGTATTATAATTGTGTTAAACTCAATTGGCTCGTGTAGGTGTCAGCCTATTCACACTCAACAGTATAATTCTAAAAACGTTATAATTGGCAAGTAATAAATAAAATACTAAACTCGCTCCCGTGTAAAACCAATTTTATGAAACTCGTGAATAGTTGTGTTCACTCGTTTCATAAAATTGGTATTACACGGGAGCGAGTTTAGTATTATATATATATATATATATACACATACATACGAGCTAAACGAGCTATATATATAATAGGTAGGTTTCTCGGCAGGATAAGGTCAACGGATAAAAACGATATCTGTTGGGTTCATATGCGGATAGATATGCAAATATCAGAGGTCAAGTAGGGACTACTTTCACTGTTTACAAACAAACATGGCGTCACCCTTGTCATTCGGCGATCGAGTCAGAATTAACCATAAGGAATCTGGAGAAACTACTGGGATAATTGCTTTCATTATAAAAAGAACAGTCTATTATACTAAAACTCAGTGTCTAACTGTGACGTGGCTAAGGCATTTCACAAGTTTGGGCAACTTTGGAGACATAAATTGCAAAACAGTTTTGCGAGGGCTCTAGCAGGGGATTTAGCGGGATGAGTAGCCATATCAGTGCTCGTTGACCTCTGTGGCTTGGAACCTTTTCACAAATTAAAAAAGGTCGATTTGGTCGACTGTTGGCCGAAATATGTTTGAATTGTTACCATGTTTCGTTTTGTCGCTGTGTGTACATCTGACTGCACTTCGTAACGTTATGACAGGACAGACTGTCAACAACGTCTGACAGTGGCCGTGACGTCTCATAGACTAAGGTCAGAGTAGCTTCCCTTTGACAAAGGGCAATTACTCTAGCGGACATACCTACTGATTGCCGTGAAAGGCAAGTAAAAACAATTTTTTGTAGGCAATTGTTGTTTTGCGTTTATGTTGTTTCGCCACTGTATAAGAAACATGTTTCAGTTGGAACTATATTGGCTACTGCCATTGTCCGACTGACACATCACTTACCCAAGCTTCTTCCCAGCGCGTGACACCTTCGTTACACTCTCGGTAACATCGCTGCCACCAGTGTGGGCGCGGCCATTACAAGAATCTTGAAATTTGCCCTCCAACCCCATATGTAGTAACGTTTATACTTTTGTTTATGTCTGTGAGAATGCCATCATATTTTAATTTGAAAAGGTTTACGACTGACCATGTTTTCCAGATGAATTTACTTTGTTGTTTTGATAATCAGATTGGTTCGAGATTGCAGACTAACGGAAAATCAACCAACTTCTCCCTTACATTCTTACCATATCAATGACATGATAGATTTAATGAAATAGAAATTCAAATTGACATACAAAGAAAGTAATTTAGCAGGGGTAAGTGTATTTGGCGTCATGACAGTCGTCACTTGTTTGTAAACATAACGGTCATTCGGTTGCGAGTTCAACTCCAAGCACGGTTGTGGCCACCTATTCACAGTGGGGAGTTTTGACTGGTGGCAGCGATAGTATAGAGAGCTCCGGGAACGTACTATCGCTGTGAGGAGCTTGATCACTTACCCTGTGACGTAATATATATTAATGCGCACATTCCAGGAATAATTGCATTGTCTCGGTAATTTTTGTGAGAGAAGGAAAGCGATTTTCAAGCACAGAATTGAAGAATGACATTATATGATAAAGAGGTTATCGCGCTTGTGTGTTTGGAGATGGTAAATATCCTGTACTAGGAATAAACAATATGCTTTTAGATCGCCAAATCTCGCTAAATACAATGTTTATTCCTAATACAGGATATTTACCACCCACAAACACTCGCGTGACACCTCTGGCCTATATATAAAGTGTACGCCGGTCTATTTTTAGATCTCACAATAAGCCAAATATTTGGAATTGCGTGTGAGAAAAAAAGGACTTTATTGCAGGTATTGTGAGAAATGGTATGTCAGAAACCATATACCGATATGTATACAAAAAAAGTTGTTATTAATTAGATCTAGATATTAATATATAAATGCGTATTTATTTCATTTTCCGAACCCGATACTTTGATACGTAACAAAACAAACGGCCGGATATAGATCTGCGGTGACTTACTATTTACTTTCCAGAACACCTTCTTACGTTTTCACAGTTACACATCTTTAGTTTATTTTTTTAAAATGTGGACTTGTATCATTATCTCCCCTTGACGAACCGGAAGTTGTAATTCATTTCAAAATGGCTTCCATGTAGAAACAAGTTGTGTTATTGGAATGATGGATTTTGGTTAGCTGTTCGGGATGTAGTGTACCCACAGGTTTGTTTCTTTGCTTCTTGAAACTTCGATGTATTTGTCCTTGGTTTACATCTTTTACTTGCTTAACAAAGTTTAGAACTCCCCAGCCGCGCCTGTGTTTACAGCAAGTCTTCACAGCGTGTGGTTGAACTGAGTAGGCCCCTAATGCACTGTGACCATGAGTAGGCCAAATTGCCCAACAAGAAGATACAAGAAATGTTAGAATGATGAAATTGATCGACATCATTGCTAACATATAAGGTAGACTGTCATCTACCAGCCGTTAAAAGTGTATGCTATGTATCAGTTTGTATTTTAAGCGTGTGATTTATGCCTAGATCCAAGTACACATGGTAAAATGTACACTTACAACAGAAATGTCAAAAATCAATATGGACATTATAAGGCCATCTGTGACATCAGTGTTTCACAGTAAGTAAACACATTCTCTTGTTTTTTCTTTGAAGTTCTATTTGCTTATCTTACTTTGTGTACTTACAATCAATCTAATCAACATGATCAAGCCAAACATTTTTTATTGTGGGCAAGGTTGCGCGATAGGTATCAGTTCGCACAGTTGGTGCATCGTCCCAGCCCTAGTGTTAACCATGTTGACTGTGTTGCCCAATTGCAATTAAACATGTTAAACTATTTAAAGGTAACCATATGATTACAGATGATAGTTTTGCGTAGTGTATCATAAGATTTCAACCATTTTGGTGTTCATATTTCTAAATGGGGTAAAGTTTAAGGTGGAAATGCTAAAAAGAATTCAGCACTCATGAGTCATGTTTTGTAGCCTTGTCCTGTAAAACGATATTAACTAAGGCACTGTTGATATTTCCCATATTAAAACACTTGTTATGAAACCTCTATTTATCATGTTTAGGAAACTGTCATAGCGGATAGAATGATATATATATACCATGTGTACTCAACACAACTACTGAAGGGTGGCCTATGTAATATGGGACTGAAAACTATATCTATATAAATATTGAAGACATATTGAAAATTCATTTCAAAATTTATCACAACAGAGAAGAGATACAGGTAATAGGTCACTGGTACTTGATACAGTTCAACATATTCAATTGCTACCCAACAACATCATGTTCACATAAACTACTGTAACACTCAGGACATTTTTATCTGTCAGTATCTGATGTAACCTCCCCTGCTTCCAATTCCCTCTTTGCATCTTGCCCTCATGTTCCATACCAGGTTCCTAATCACAGCCTGGGGCATTGCGTTCCTCTCCCAGAGCAGAGCTGCTTGCGTCCCAAGATCATATGGAGCAAGGTGACTCCTATGAACACTGCACCCTAGCTCACCCCCATTCATGTTCCATAGGGCTAAAGTCAGGAGAGCAAGCAAGACACTCATGCTCCATCCTGCGTGTTCCTTGTTGATGAATAAGGCGTTGACAACGTTACCATGGTGAGGACATGCACTATCATCCTGCAGGATCGGACATCTCTGCAGTGACGCATGGTCCTCATGAATGGTACCACAATTGGGGCCAGTATCTAATCCCTGTAGCATTGTGAAGAGAGATTTCCAACAACAATGTGTAATTGTGTCCTTGCAGTAGCTGTAGTGCAACTCCAGACCATTATGGAACCACCTCAAAATCAACAACAGCAGCATCAGCGAAATGTTCATGGCGCATCTGTATACCCGTCTACGGCCATCATGAAATGACAGATTGAATCTGCTTTCATCAGTCAACAGAACTGATGACAACTGACATTGATTCCAACGCTGATGATGCCAGCACTGTTGCAAGTGAGCTTGTCTGTGACGTGGTGTCTGTTGTAGACGAACTGCTGAACGTTGAGAACAGAGAATGAAATCTCTGCTTCTTATGGTGGTCTGGACATTATTGGCGTTAAAGTGTTCAGCACTTATCTGACATGACGTCAGAAATCGGCCACATAGGGCAAGGTTCACTTGGTACCTGTCCGGCTTCTATGTTGTAACCCTATGACAACCTGGTTTTCAAGCATAGGCAACTGTTTCAGTGACCTGGTACTACTGCCACAGCCTCCCAAACACTCTGTGAGTAATGTTAAAATGTGCAGCCACCTGATGTTGACTTTTTACCTGTTTGGAGCATCCCAATTTCTCTGCCTCGATTCTCAACACTCAAAAATGGACGCACTGTTTTACATGTTTCCTGTAATTTACTACTGTTAATGTGGTTTAAAGCCATGCATCCTTACCCTGATTTGCACGTGCAACAACTGGCAACCATGGCAACTGGTTGTGTTCGGGCAATACAGCATTGTTACCATGAACACAATGCTTATATTTGTGAAAAGCTGGTCATTATTTACCATGGTTCAAACATTGCTTTCATTAATAGAGCCAAAACATTAATGTGGACTTTCAAAACTGGGGATTTTCTTATTATAAGTTCTAGATTTGACTGGGAGACCCTCTTCCATACCCATGATACCTACATGGGTGACCCTTCAATAGTCATGATAGTTGTGTATTGAGCATGTTGATTATATGATGCTGTAAATGTCAGGGGGGCATGTGTCTTTGTTGCCATGGTTGCCATTCCCAATAGTCAACCGGGTCAGATTTTCATCTGGTTATGTTGTTTAACCATTTTAAAAAATAAATATATTGACAATTAACTGAACGCTTTTATGTTGCAGGCAAGCATTGGAGTGAGGTGGGAAGGGAAGTAGTTTGGCATGAAGATACCCAACTGTTATCAAACTCAAAGCATCCATCTCATATCAGTCCTACCTGGTCAGCATTGGCTCACCAGGACATTTTCACATCTCTTGCTTCACAAACAACACATTCAAGTGGTAAGGGTATTAAGTCACTTGTTGGTTGTCTCAAGGGCACTTATGATCTTGTGGGTAGTCATTGTCAATGTGTAGGACTCATGCTCACAGAAGTAGGAGTCATTATCATGATTCCTTTACATTTTTTTGTGCATTTATCGAAGGATAACAGTCACAAATTTGTATAAAATCGTGTATCTGTCTGTCAGCGGCATGATTTTCAGGGTGCCCATTGAAGGGAGATCCCTCAATGATCTCCAGCAGAAGGGCTTCTACATCCTCATCAAATCCCTTGAGTAATAATCACATCTAAACACAATGCTAAAGGGTGATGAATTTACCAAAGATAATATCTAAAGCTACGTTGTCCGGCATCATCTGTCAGTAGACTGCCGGGTAGCTATCAAAAGACCATTTTTTAATTTTGTAAATGGGAAATACAACAAGAAACATAAATGGGTTATCACATTGATTTGTATTATACATGTAACATGCATTAATCAGTGAAATGTTTAAGAAAATAGCCAAATACATCCCTGAAAATGTGTCAAATCTCGTAGGTACGGGTAAGGGGTTCCCAGTGCAATGTTTTATTATTAGATTCATAAACTTACTCTTTCCAAGCTAAAGCTCACACCCCTCTGAAAAGCCGGGAAACACCCCTCTGAAAAACCAGGAATAACCCCTCTGAAAACCGGGAAACACCCCTCTGAAAAACCAGGAATAACCCCTCTGAAAACCGGGAAACACCCCTCTGAAAAACCAGGAATAACCCCTCTGAAAACCGGGAAACACCCCTCTGAAAAACCAGGAATAACCCCTCTGAAAACCGGGAAACACCCCTCTGAAAAGTCGTTCTGTCCCTCTCGCAGTTGTTAAAAAATAACATTCAATTTTGATTCCACATAGCCAATCAGATTAGCGGAATATAGTACAACACACATACTTTATTATTAGTTTTTTTCTAATTCCATTTTCAGTTAGGATGGTTATAATACCATCCAATCATCAATGACCATCAAAATGTATTGGTTAGCATATAGGTCAGGGATCCAGAAATATTATAGGATATGAACATGATCATGATGAAAAGCAACTTTCTGCCCCACGTTACATGTATTAGGTACAGTAAACTCTGTTTAAACCGAACTGAGGGATATAATGTTTTTTTAGTCCCGGACATTCGCTGTATATTTTATCATAAAAAAACTGATGGATGTAATAAACATCCTTATAACAAAATAATGGATATAGCAGACTCACTTCGTGGACCTGTGTGTTCTCTGTCAGCAACAGTGTTTATAACCAACTGTTAATCTCTGAGCTGCTCACATGTCACCATGCTCAATAAACAGTTGAAGGCAAGTGATTAACTGTATTTAGTACTTAAACCTTGTCAGCTGAGTATGTCAGCCGAGCTAGAAAACGATTCTGACCGTCTTCTTACGCAGATGTAGAAAACCCGCTGTTTGAGTGGTTCATAGACGTTCAAAGTTAAAACATTCGAGAGTGCATCAGTTGACCCTGAGCTTGTCAGTGATTTGTTGACCCCTCATGATCCAAACTACCTGATGATATTCAACCCTGATGATATTTTTAAAGCCAATGATTTAGTGAGTGAGTATGGTTTGTCACCGCTTTTAGCAATATTTCAGCAATATCATGGCGGGGGGCACCAGAAATGGGCATCACAAATTGCATCCTGTGGGGAATCAAACCCAGGTCTTCAGCTGGACAAGCAAATGCTTTAACCACTGAGATACCCCACCGTCCCTTAACTCTGATGAGACTGGTTTGTTTTGTGAAAGGTTAAAAATGTCATTGATGACATTGTGACGACATTTAACTCTTGTGTCTGGATGTCAATGAAACTGTATCAATAATATATTTATAACATATATTTACTTATGCTATATATTTTATGTCATTTATGAGATGAATAAACATAGTACATATACACTGCACACTTTTGATATTTATTGAGTCACATGGTGTGGTCACGTGACTTGGTCCAAGATGTCCGACAGTCGAAATGCTTATAACAAGTATAATGAACTACAGTTCTAACAAACTAAAATTAGTGGTCTCTTTGAGTTTGTTATAACTGTTCCTTACTGCATTTTAGACCCGTGAAGATTCCAGGGTAGACTAGGTCTTCAGCAACCCATGCTTGCCGTAAAAGATGACTATGCATGTCGTAAGAGGCAACTAACCGGATCTGGTGGTCAGGCTCTCTGACTTGGTTGGTGCATGTCCTCGATCCCAATTGCGTGGATCGATGCTCATGATATCAATCACTGGATTGTCTGGTCCAGACTCGATTATTTACAGACCGCAATCATATAGCTGGAATATTGCTGAGTGCGGCGTTAAACAACAAGCAACCAACCAACTACCGCATTTTTTAATATAAATTTATTAATTGTGATCGTTGGCCAATAAGAAAATATGTATGTTGTATTCAGTATGTTCATGATGTTCATGGGACTAAATTAAACAAAATGGCAAACTGGATATTCTGAAAGAATGTTCATTATGTTCATGTATCCTTTCTGAAAGGGCTCATGGAACGTTTTTAACAATGTTGAAGGCAGAAAAGTGACAATTAGCTGATCATCAATTTGAAATGTGTTTTTAGTGAACAGATGAACCAAGTGCGACACCGTTACAGTGTCATCCGTCTTCAGTTCTCCTGTGGATAATAAGTTTACTTGCACTAAATGGGCTTAGACTTGTACTAATTTATGAATGAACAACTTCTTTATTACAATTAAGGGCGACGTTTCGGTGTAGGTTCTAACAGCGTTATCAAGCAAGTGAACCTACACTGAAACATCACTCTTAATTGTAATAAAGAAGTTGTTCATTCATCAATTCTTATACTTACTTAGTACTCCCAACTTCTAAATGCCTATCAAAGAAGTTGTGCTAATTTGTATTTCTGTTCACTTCAGTTAGAATGACGTACCAGGTCATATTATCGGATTATTGTAGGAATTTATTATCAACTTTTATTTTGTTTAATTGTTCAATTATGTTTAGTCTGTGTTGTCATGGTTATTGTGATAGTATGGATGATAATTTATTTTATTATTATTTACATGATTTCAGTAGATTAAAACCAACCTATTTAAGTTGCATCCAGAAGCTGTCGTATCAATAAAGACAGGACTGACTTAGGAAGATCCGGGTAGAGATTAGTACAGATTGGGCGGTCAGACTCGTCAACTTGGTTGATACATCTCACACTTACAAACCTATTAAATATATATGCAAAATATTTCTTCTTTCTTCAACTTTTATGACAACATCAATTAGGATTGATCAATGCTGAGTTTGTTTACCGAGTCATTAGAGACTCAAGGGTGGGCAACTCTATATTATTGCAGTATGGCTATTTATATGTGTGGAATAAGTGCTTTTCTTTTTTATTATGCATATTCAGTATGCATGCGACCCATTTGGGTCAAGAGACATTGTCCAAACAAATGGGTTCTTTTCTAATCAATTATGAATGAAGTTATGTGTAATTCCACATGAAAACATTCTAGAAATTATCAGTAAAACATGTATTCGTATGAGTAGTCATGACATACCATGAGTCCTGTATTCGATCAAGCAATGAATTATTGTGCTTAGATTTGCATAATTCAACAGTTGACAGAGGGTGTGGATTACAAGATTTACTGATACTGCGATAATATTGAGCCTGCGATAATATAAGAGTCATACTATACCTTTATAAAGGTGGCAGATGTATCTTTGACTGTGAGTTACAGACATGTACACTGATTTCTTGTAGCCACTGCCTGCTGTAAGATGGGAGAAGATTCCCCTGCTATAGGTGTGTTCTGGGACATCGAGAACTGCCCAGTCCCAAAATGGAAATCAGCCTTGAGTGTAGTTCAGCGGATACGGGACCGCTTCTTCCATGGTCACCGAGAGGCAGAGTTCATGTGTGTTTGTGATATCTTAAAGGAACGCAAGGACATCATAGAGGAATTGAACTCAGCACAGGTAACCACAGACAATTTGCTTAAGTTGTGGTCATAGATGGTGGAACACAAGTTTGCACTCAACAACATTGTTACATGGATTCGAAGCCAGGCCTTTTCACCATGTTCACTGTGTACGAATACTTTTCTTGACTGAAGGTCTGCCTGTGTCCTTATTCTGAAAACAAAGAACTTGGCATGGCAACATGATTGTCACATCCATAATGTTGGGTTCAATAAACATGTATTACAAAAAAAACTGATGGTTTAGTCACTTTGCCCACGCACACAAAAAAACAGGTCCTGTAGTAGGAATTGAAAATCCACTTCCCAAAGAGGCCACCCTGACTGTTAGTTGGCATGGAAACATTTGGCACCATATATGAAGTCAAAGTTTCTGTTTAACAGCTGTTTTACCATGGTTACAGGTAGAACCAACATAAAGTACCAGTAATGCTGTTTATGTGCAGGTAGATATCTATGTAACTTTTCTAAACTGATGTTGTTGAAGTACAGGTAGATATCTATGTATTTTTGAAAACTGATGCTGTTGTGTTACAGGTAGATATTATACACATCAGTGCCAGCAGTAAGAATGCAGCCGACGACAAGATTAAACAGAGTCTACGACGTTTTGCCGACACTCACCCACCACACACCAAGGTTATTCTCATCTCAGGTAGGCCACAGCAACCATATTACAGCTGAAAACAAGGGGGCACAGCAGCCCACAATGAGCAATGGGTAGCCTATTTATTAAGGCATTACCATGTAAATGTGTAATGCATAAGTCCAGAGTCCGATTCCCCAAATGGATGCCATGAGAGAGGCCTATTTCTGGTGTCGTCTGTTGTCACATGGCTGGAATATTCCTAAAAGCAGTGTAATACTCTCCCCACTCACAAAGTCAATGGTAATGTCTTCCTTGGCACTTGGTATAACTTCCTTGTGTAATACGGAGGGAGTGGGTCTATTTTATGGCCTGTCATCAGTTGTTAATACAGACAGATTCAGATGCTCATAAAAACTGCAGTTCTTTGAATTTTGTGAATTTGATGTTTTAGTGTGGTTACAATGGCCAGGCTTGTTTGTTATTTGTGATTGGGTTTTCAGGTGACGTCAACTTTTCCATGGACCTTTCTGACCTCCGACACCGAAAAAATTTCCACGTCATCCTCATCCATCGTGCACACTCTCACCCCTCCCTCATCGCATGTGCTAATGAGCACTTCTGTTTCGAGGAGCTTGTGGAGGATGTTCCTTGTCGATCACCATCTAAGGTAAGCCGTTATGAACATGATGAAGGATGGAAATTGTAACAGGATAAAGCCCTTTTATGCACGCTTCAGTGACTTTGGTGGGTTTTGTATAATTATGGAATTGAAATAAGAACTAGCAAGAGTTAGGTTATTTCTCCTCTGATTTTGTTAGGGACACATTTTCTCTTTAACTGAATGTATATTTTGAATAAGGAATAATACAAATTTAATAACCACAATAATTACTCAATGTGAAATGTAATCTGTAACTACAAGGACCAATTTTTTATATAGGTCTTCAGCAACCCAAACTGGTCTTAAGAGGCAACTAACAGGATCAGTCTGGTCAGGCTCGCTGACTTGGTTGATGCATGTCATCGTATCCCAATTGCGTAGATCGATGTTCATGGTAGCAATCACTGGATTTTCTGGTCCAGACTTGATTATTTACAGACTGCCATCATATAGCTGTATAGAGTGTGGTGTCAAAAAAACAACAAACAGTTTCTGCCACCATTTGTCTTTAAAGATGAAGATGAAGCTATTTCAGATTTTCTACTCAACACTGTTGCTTCTAGTCATTTGAATGTTTGTACCTACAGACATTTGAGGGACTGTCAGAAGTAGAAGTACGGGGTTTCCCCTCCCACATGCATACTGATAAGCTGAGGGCCAGGCTTAAGAAGCTGTCTGAGAACTGTGGTGGGCGTGTCACCAGCATCACCCAGGACTATGCCTTGCTCAAGTTCAGCAGTCATGAAGTTGCACTCAGGTCAGTACTCCAAGGTCATCCTAAGGTCACACACCGGTCTCCCAGTTGGGTGCTGTAGCAGTTAGTGTTGTGTGTTGCTGTATAAGTGGAGTAAACAGCACAGTTGAGCAGGGTTACAAAACTTGGGGCGTAGTTGTCTGAATTATTCCTGGTGAAAAAGCTGAACTGACTCTCATGTTGCCAGGATCTGATGGTTGTTGAACCAAATCCCAGATTCACACCAATCATCGGCATAACTCTTTAGCTTGTGGGTTAAGTAAGTGTTCTGCCTATGCTTCTCGAGCAAGGAAATCGTTGTTAACTAGCCCAGAGTGAGGTATAAGTTAGTTCTACCCATAATTTCCACAATATCTCGGCCAATTCACCTATGTTTTGTCTTACGACATTTGAGGAATTGTCCATTTAGGTTTTACATGTGAACCTGTTAGTATTTGAGCCACAACACTGAGGAAAGTATGTGTAGAACTTACTTATATCTCCCTCAGGGCAAGTTGACCTTTATTTGCTGTTTCCATAGGTATTCACACAAAACATTCCTTTAAATGTAATAGTTTCCAAATGCTTTCACTCCCACTCAGTCCAGATGGCACAGTGGTAACCGTAAAGTCAGCGGCTTGATAATCAGTAGGTTTGAAGATGAAGTCCTTGCTGGAAAGGTTTGCACAATTGCTTGACTTGGATTTTATTTGAAGTCTTGAATTGCAAGTAAACATTTAGGATTATCTTTTTAATGTGAAAACATGGAAAGAATATGTATGTTATATACCTACCCTATACGTGAAAAGTATTATGCTACACCTACCCTGTATTTGAAAGGTATTATGCTACCCCCACCCTAAAAGTATTATGCTCCACCTATCATGTTGGTGAAAAGTATTATTCTACCCCTACCCTGTATGTGAAAAGTATTATGCTACCCCTACCCTGTATGTCAAAGGTATTATGCTACCCCCACCCTAAAAGTATTATGCTACACCTATCATGTTGGTGAAAAGTAATATGCTACCCCTACCCTGTATCATGCTGTATGTGAAAATATTATGCTACCCCTACCTTGTATGTGAAAAGTATTATGCTACCCCAACCCTGTATGTGAAAAGTATTATGCTACCCCTACCCTGTATGTAAAAAGTATTATGCTACCCCCACTCTGTATCATGTATATGTGAAACAGAGCCGTGAATCTACCAATACCAGTATGATTAATACAAAAGAAACCATGGAAACAAGTCTGGCAGTGGGTTATAGGGTGGTAAGCATCTGTGACCTGTGTCTCCCACAATACACTGACATGCCATGACACGACTGAAACCATGTTCAGGGCAGCAGTAAACCCAAACCACACTCACAAGACATTGTTTGAGTTGAGCTGGTTTTGTGTAGGTAGTTCCATTTCCTTCATACCACACTCACAAGACATTGTTTGAGTTGAGCTGGTTTTGTGTAGGTAGTTCCATTTCCTTCATACCACACTCACAAGACATTGTTTGAGTTGAGCTGGTTTTGTGTAGGTAGTTCAATTTCCTTCATACCACACTCACAAGACATTGTTTGAGTTGAGCTGGTTTTGTGTAGGTAGTTCAATTTCCTTCATGACTTCAAAAGAGTTTTTATGTCTCGGGGCAATCACGACAAGTTAGCTATCAGCCAGACACAGTAACTCCGTCAACATGGTCAAGACCCTGGTCTTCTAGGGGGATTACTGATTTACCATGACAAGATTCCTGTGACACATTTTCTAACATTGGAAGTCACTCATATCCATATTTAGTTGCCATTTTGACCACCCATACCACATATCATGCATACACAGGCTTTTCATGATAGGTACTGCAGACCAGGTCAGTTTTAAAAGTCCACTGTATGACACTAGGTAATATTGACTAGTGTCAACAGTTACATCTAGAGGATTGAATTAAAGTGTGGGGAGTTGGTAGATTGGCCATGGTTCATGAGTTCTTCCCTTGCTTTGTGTGGCATCAGGTGGCAGGCAAACCTTTCTGTACTACTCTCAAGTTGATTAAGTGTTAGAATTCACTCCAGGGCACCCAGGCACTAGTAAGTCTTCTTAGGTGCTGCCTGTACTTATCAATGTTTGTGTTAATTTGTAAACATTTAGTTGGGGATCCAAATCCAGGAATTTATGTTTACATAATGCAGGGCTCGATTTATGGAACTTGATTTAACCTGCACCAGGTGTATGTTGACATGAAAACTAGTTGCGCCAGAGTAAACCAGTTTGCACCCTGGTCCTATGAATGTATCAATGTTGAAACACAAGCTGCATAAACTAGTCTAAATAAGTTTTGTTTGATTGTTGTTTAACGCCGCACTCATTAATATTCCAGCTATATGGTTTGGTTAGTTTGTTGTTTAACGCCGCACTCAGCAATATCCCAGCTATATGACGGTGATCTGTAAATAATCAAGTCTGGACCAGACAATCCAGTGATTGATATCATGAGCATTAATCTACGCAATTGAGATCGATGACATGCATCAACCAAATCAGTTAGCCTGACCACCTGATCCTGTTAGTTGCTTTTTATGACAAACATAGTGGACTTTTACGGCAAGCATGGGTTGCTGATGATCTATTCTACCCCGGATCTTCACAGGTTAGTCTAAATAAGTACGATCTCGGATGACTGTGTCGCATGTCATGAATTACGCATGACAAAGGGATGAGTGATAGAGTATGGTTAATAAAGCTCAGAGATATTGAGTGTGTTCAAAGATTTATCATACCGTATTTGACGTAATAAGCGCCCAGGGCGCTCTCAAAATTAGAAATAGGGGGCTATTAATAGAATATTATTTTGGTGGAAAAAACAGAGTTGAAAGATAAATTTCGTGGTTTATGCTGACAGCCTGAAATGTTTATGTACGACAGATATATTTTTCCAGAATTAATTATGGGGAGTGTGTATTATACGCGAATAAATAAGTCTTGTGTACATTGATCAATCAGAAGGGGTGCTAATTGGGATTGTCCACTAGCCAATGTATTAGCAAATATCGCTGTGGGCGCTTATTAGAGCGGGGCGCTTATTACGTCGAATACGGTATGTGTTCAAGTAAGGGTCAGTCACACAGAACTTTGAATCTTTTGGACATCCACTTGGTGCATGTTGATATAAATATTAGGTTGCATTTTCAATAATAGGTTGCACTGGTGCATGTTTTATATAGTTAAATCGAGCCCTGTAACATAAGAAACACATTTGCTATAGGAGACATTGATGTTAGATATGTAATGATGGATTCATTTGTGGTCAGTTTTTGTAACAATGCTTCATGTAACATGATGTAGTATTTACCAGTTAGTGATGTTCAAAGAACCTAACACTGCTAAGTAACAATATATGTTATGAAAAATACATGTCTGATATTGGTATTAGTGTTGCATTGGATATTGTAAATTTTCACCTGAATTACAGAATGATATACACATGATATACTTAAAATGAATGTGTTAAGAAGTTTTAAGTATAGACTCCAACAATTTTCCTATTAACATGATTAAGATGGTATTAAGTTTCTAACAAAGTTCAATTAACAAATGGGCTCCACGATAGAATTCTGTTAAGTGCATGATTAAAGTTAGTCCAACACTGAAACAGTGAGATGTTGGGAGGACTTGTGATGGGTTATGTAATTGATTACTAATGATTAGCATATGAAAGCCTTGCCAGTGGCTGTCTCGGGCTGGTACAGGCATGGAAAGCGAGCTGCACATGCTGCATGGGCTTTAGGTGCTGGGAGGCTCAACAGGGTGGGCCACAAACCACCTTACTTACAATTGGACACAGTATGGTAGGTTTTACAGTGCTGTGGGATATTTCAGAGCTCAGAAGAGAATGGATGGGGAGGATGTGTTTGGCCAGAAGATTATTGCCCAGATACCAGCTACATCAAACACAGGGGACAGCACAGTAGGATCGCCTCACACAGGTCAGTGTTGTACAGTGCTCAACCTGTTCACATGTTTATGTTGGGATCTTGCTGTGTTGGTCAAAATACCAGTACACATGTTTAATGGATGTGTGCACAGTTGGTTTCAGTCGACATGTTGGCTGAAATTGGTGTTCAGGATATCTGCTGTAGCCTGCTGTCAGTGTATGACAGAGCTTATGCTGGGTCCCTATGTTGGAAGAGTTGGGCAGGAGTAATCTGTCCAGTTGTTCATGGGCAAAGTAAAGGAATTATTTTATTTTTTTTATTTTGTAAACATATTTGTTTGAATATTTTCTATGTATCCTTTAAGTCTTGACCAAGTCCTTTTTGAATTTCTTCTTTGACACTGCCCCCATCATGTACAAGTATTGACATGTTGTTTTCCCTACCTTCAGTAGATGATCAGCAACATGGGAGTTCTGTCTGCATGATCAGGGGAATCCAAGTATGTTCCCAAAAATTACCTGTACATTCAGGGAATGACTTCCGCCTGTATCCAAAAGTTGCATATGTATGCATTGACGCTTAACCCTTTTAATTATATATACATATATACAACTCAAGTCCTAGACAAATGTAAATACCATACATGTTGGTCAATGTATGAAGAATTACTCATGTTCAATAGATATTAAATGGATGCCCAAACATACATAATGGAATGTTGTATGAATGAACGCTCATGAACGCAACACATCTGACGTCATAGATCGGTGACTAGAGATGCAACATTTGTCTCATGCAGGATTAACATGTATAGTTTGGAAATTAAAAGAATAAAGATACTCTTGTTAGTTTTGTCATTAAGTGTAACACATTGGAACCATCTTTTCTTAACATACATACTTCTCTACATGTTTGTATCATGTCTATGGTTCACCTTTCTTGTTGTGGTGAGTATATACTTGAGGGGGGATACGGATGAAAGTTTTAACTCTGCATGAAAGTTGAAGGAAGTCTTGGTCTTTGTCATAACCCAAATGTTGCCCTTTGAGTAAATTCCAAGATTCCAATGCTATAGGATCCAACCTTACAGACTGCGGGGCCCCTGTTTATGGCATGTTTAAATCTTTGACACTTGATCTGAGCATGTGTTGGTGTTTACAACTGCAAAAACATGTCACGTGTCAAACACAGATAATTATGTCCCCTTGTCGATCAGGGTTAGAATTGGTCGTCACCAACCCATACTTGTAAGAGGCGACTAAAGGGTGGTGAGACTTACTTACTTGGTAGGTCAATGTTCATGTCAATCTCTGGATTGTCTGGTCCAGACTCGATTATATACAGAGTCCTGTCATATAGGTGAAGTATTGCTGAATGTGGCATTAAACGACAAGCAAATATGTTTTACAAGTTTTAGTGTACTGAATTTCATAGTGGATAAAATTAGTTGTATCCTACTTGATGTACTTAGTCTTATTGTTAATATTTCCAGGTTATACAAAGAGGTCTAAACTTTCGATGCCCGGTTTTGGAAGCCCTAAACATTATAATCGACACAGCAGTCCATCCGGCGACAGACGGACATTCCGCAACAACTCCCCATATCGGGGGTGTGTGAGTGCGCCTGTAGCCAGTGGGTACACCTCAAGCCCTGAGGCCAACAACAGGCCATCAGATGTTGATGCTGACAAACAGCCTGACAACTATTCTACAAACGGGAAGCGTCCAAGTCGAGAAATGTTGATGCTGCAGCAGCAGCGCTACCAGGAGAGTCAGCATAAGCTGAATGGGGGCTGTGGAGGAGGGGGAGATGCTGGGGATGAGATGGACGGTACAGGCGAACTGGATAACCACAGATACGCTCAGCGAGTTGGGCACTGGTCTGGAGATGAGAAAGGGAAAATACAAAGCTACAAGAGAAGGCATTTCAGTGGATCTCACTCAGATGAACAGACCGAGAACTATCATTACTATTCTGCCCTAAGCCATAATTCAAGCTTTACCTATGGGAGTGGCAGCCCTATCCACAACCCACAGCGTGTCCGACATGGCAGTGGTCCTTTTGGATGTCGTCCCAAAAGTGTCCCATATGAGTTGGACCACCCATATGGCTCTTCATGGCCTCCACCGCAGGACAATGAGTTCTTCCACAGAGGGAGCCCAAACTTCCGTTCGTACAGCCCTCGGCGCTACAACTGCATGAACTCAAACCAAAACAATTGTAACTATCAACAAAACAACTACCACAACAACTTTCACAACAACATCAATAGTAGCAACAGCTTCCAGCCCATCATGCCTGGTGCATCGCCCCCAGGGTCCCCGCTGACAGATGGCTCCTCACCCCAGGGGATGGGCCCAGTAGAGCTAGTGGTCACAAACCTTGACTACAATATCAGTGCCAAGGAGTGGAGGAAGATCCTGTTCACCACCTTTCATCCTCATGTCAAGGTTGGTAGGATATTACTCAAAACGAGTTTAGATGACAATCAAGAATTGTTCTCCTTCAACCTTATCCATTTAGTAAATTTTGATCTTTTTACAATTTAAGTTATTATGCCATGTTCAGTATAAGATTCAAAGAAACAAAATGAATATGTCAACCTTGAATATCAACAAGCCACAACATATTATGGTACTAACAGATAAGAACATGCCAATATTTTAGAATCTAGTGGCACTAGGTCAACCTCATTTTCAGTAAACCAACATGGGCTTGTGCAACTTTCCTAATACCTTGAGGTGTTTGTTGAATTAATGGTGATATACAGCTACCCTGTCATTGTGAAAAATATTATTGACTTCAGGTTTTGAATGTGCATGTGAAGACCCAGCTGGACAACACTTGTATTGGCATGATTAAAGTCCCCACCATAGAGGAAGCACGTTTTGCAATCTCCCAGTTTCACAGAAAGAAAATTGGCTACAAGCGTATCCAGGTCAGCCTGAAGACGGACGATGCCCACACAGCAAGCGCAAACATCCGTGCCGAAGCCATTGCACTGCTGCAGGAGGCTAAGGGCAATGTTCTGCCACTCTTCAAGTTCATCGAACTGTTTGACAAGAGGTAAACAAATGACAGTGAGCCTTTCAGATAGTGTAAATCTTTTCTGCAATCCTTTCTCACTAGACTGTTTTCATTACTATTCTTTGCAAGTACAGGGGTAGATTTAACAAATTTGTCTGTAGCCAGCAGGGCTTGCTCCTTTTGAAAGTTACTGGCCCTTCTCCAAACTTAACTGGCCTACAACTAATGGTGAAGACCGCAAATTGGCGGAACCTGCGGTTGCATAGCCACCTAGCAGGGCTCTGAAAGTTTTAGAACTCCTCACCCCTAACACGTTTTTTCCTGCACTGTGATTAAATCTTGTCTTCAAATTGCCTTAACTCATGGTGATTCATTAGCAAATACAAAAGTTGTTGTACACAAGATTACCAAATGGCATCTGGTTGTCATTCTACTGAGATGATCCAATAAAAATTCTTGAACATACAAGAAGGGGTGAGACTTTGACTAGCCAGACGGGCCCACCTACTTGACGTTTCACCAAGCCCTTTGTCATTTTAACTGGCCACGGGCCAACAGGCCAGCAGTTAAATCAACCCCTGCAAGTAAATGTATATGCATATTGTCTTGTAAGAAATAAGATTATGAAAGTGAGTTGTTTCTAAAGAAATTCTGGTGATCAAATATGGTTATTGAAATAGTTTTAAACTTCAGCCTTTGTGTTTCTAAGATATATTATTTTTCACTAGGTACCACAGATCCATCAGTGTCTCCGAGCTGTACAAGATGCGTGACACGCTCGACATCCGTGAGCAGGGTGGGGCAGGTAGGATGGTGTATCTGGCCCCAGTACTTGCCAAACCACCCACCCCACTAGAGGCCTCAGACACAGAGGGGGAGGATGTTTTGGAGGAGCCTGTCTGTGCCAGTCACTGCCCCGAGGGAAGTGTGTTCTATGCGGAAGCCATGAACTCCTCAATGTTGCCCAATGTCCGCATCCAGTTGAAGACGCTCGCTGCCCAAGTCCACTCCATGCTGCAGTCTCACAATGGCCACATGCCACTCATGAGGTTAGCATAACACACAGAAGATTATCTCCAAATTCCGAAGTATTTTTGTAGTTAATTTGGCACATCCTACTTATATAGACATTTCTCAGCTATAGTCTGGAAGGTAATTTAGCGAGCATTCATTGTAACAGCCATCTGCATAATGCTACCCCTGCGTCACAGGGCCATATGACACAGTTGAACCAATCAACTCAACTCGAAAGGGTGCACAGGAATCACGCACGTTGAGACGCCCAATGCTAACACTGTATTCGTGCGTGCGTGATTCCCGTGCACCCTTTCGAGTTGAGTTGATTGGTTCAACTGTGTCATATGGCCCTGTGATGCAGGGGTAGCATTATGCAGATGGCTGTTACAATGAATGCTCGTTCCTCGTTCCACCCGTAACTAACAGGTCTGGTTGTTGATGTAATATAGTGATAGCTAAATAGACAGATTATTTATTCATGCACTGATTGTCTTTAAATGTAATATCCAGTTATGTATGACTGTTTAATAATCTCATACCAACTTTGACTGGAGTAGGTCCGATGGTTTTTCAGATATTGAAGTAAATGTCTGTACCTTAAATTACCTTCCAGACTATAGCTCAGTCTATAGTATGAGCCAGTTTCACTACTTTGTAACGAGACATGACAGGGGCGGTAGGGTAGTCTCGTGGTTAAAGCATTCACTTGTCACGCCAAGGGCCAGGTATTAGCTGGAACATTGCTAAAGGCAGCGTAAACCCATACTCATACCACTACTATCCCTGTTTATATTTCCAGTTTCCCGGCCTGTTATGCTGCTGAGTTCAGTGCCCTGGTGTCAGTGAAGGAGGGCGTGCCCCTGGAGCACCTGATCAGCTGTGTGCCCGGCATACAGGTGCAAGTGTCTCGGCTGGGTGTCAAGAAGGTGCAGTGGATGGAGAACCAACCTCCCCAGGCTATAGGTGCGATCACCATCACAACATCCCCTTTTGCAATTATGAATTAACTGACGTTATAAACCTCCAGTGATGCATGACCATTGTTACAACAGGTTGTTCTTTTCTCCGAAAATCTCTCTGCCCACGGGATTCTCGAGCTGTGCGCTTTTGACTGAGAACTTTCGAGTGCTACAATTGAAATTTCAGAATTAAAGTTATGTCATGTAAACAAAAAAGCATCTTCATATCTGTCGGTTTATAAGTCAGATATAAACCTTCTCCTATGGCTATCCGTGAAAATAATGCACTCCAGCGCAGGAAAAGCCCTTGGGCCTACGGCCCGCAGGCTTTTCCTTTGCCGGACTGCATTATTTTCACGGATAGCCATAGGAGAAGGTTTATATCCTATACATAGCACATAAAAAAGGGCCTCTACGCATTATTATTAGTTGAGGTCATGTTAGATATATTTATGTCATAGACATTTTGAGTAAATAACATGACTTGTTGCAGAGTTCGGTCGGCAGTCAGCTACAGCCAGCCCCCTGTTGTCTCACCAGCTGGGGCAGATAAGCCGCGAGGTGACAGATCTTCTCAAACACAGTGCCAACTGCCGAATGCCAGTGTCCAAGTTCATTCCAGCATATCACCATCATTTCGGGCGTCAGTGTCGTGTAGCAGACTACGGGTACACCAAACTCATGGAGCTTTTCGAGGCTATTCCATATGCTCTGCAGGTAAACCATTTTAAAACATTTGAACTCACTCATTTCTCGGATATTAAAAGTGAGTTTCTATTCCTTTTTGTGCATAAAGAACGACTTCAAAGTTTTTGATCTTGGAGTGGCCTTTTGAATGTATGTCACCAGAAAGTATGTAAGATTGACTATCATTAATAATACAGGAACAGAGTTTGTCCGTCTGTCCATCCACTTCTCAAATGGAAATATTTTCTCAAAAGCTATTTAAGTCAGAGAAATAAATTTTTACACACTGTTACTGGTCTTGATCTAAAATGAGTTTGAAAATTGGTGTTGTTCATTAATTGTTTAAAGAGTTATGGCCCTTGCTCGGTGCTTTTCTACTTAGTGCAAACTGCTTGGAATTGGGACAGGCTTTCTCAAACTACTGAAGTTTCAGGAATAAAACTTTGCATGCTTATCTACGAGATACTTATCAATACTGAGTTATTTGTTCCAGAGAACATGGAGAAGGGGTCTTTTGTTTGTATTAATTTCACATTTAATCCTTTTTATTTGATGACATAAAGTGGCCAAGTGCCTATCTCTTCTCAAGGCTTAAGACTCATTTGTATGATTTATATTCACTACTATGTGAACAAACAAAATTGTAATGTGACCCATGCCGGGGGATAGTGATAAAGTTGTTTTCTTGTTATGATTATAGTGACATTATAATGAAGTGTAAGAATCTACATCAAATGTAGCTGCGATCATAATAAAGATGTTGGTCACTAAAAATATTAGTTTCTAGTGGGGATCCTAAAAAAAATACAGATTTGGGGAGGGTCATGAAAAAACATTTTATAGTAAAATATTAAGTGCTTTTACATTGTCCTTTCAGGCTTGTTTTTTAAAATAAACTTTTGGATTTGTGTTGAGGGGATAAGAGTGAGTGATTATTTCAGGTTCTTGGTACCGGAGATCGTAAGATCCTGACTTTGAGTCACCGTGCTCAGATTCGTCGCTTCACTGCTGATCTACTCAAGGTGCTGAAGGGTCAGCCTGCCAAACAGCTGGCAGTGGAGGAGTTCCCTGAGGCTTTCGGTGAGCTCTGGTTACCACTCTACAATATATAGTGGATTTTATAACCCCTTGTCGTTGATTGCTTCTTGATGAAATGATCAACTGTAAATGCCAAGTGATTTTTATGTAAAATATTCAATGTCTTTTCCAAATGTTCAGAGCTTTCATTAAATTTGTTCAGTGAATGATTTGAAAAGCTTGATTATGAAAATAAAAAATTTGATATTCCTTTTACTCATGTATACTGTTTGAACAGCTAAAGATGCCATGTAATAGCCCTAGTGTCTAACTACAATCCTCTGTGTACAGAAGCCGTGTTTGGCAAGGCCTGGGATGTTACGGAGTATGGAGTCTGCTACATCGAGGATCTTCTCATGGAGATCCCTCCATCAACTCTCCTGGTGAGTCCAGCAGGGGCCTTAGTAGGGGGCAGTAAGTTAAAATTAAACACTGCAGTTGCAATATTTGAACCATATAGTGACATGAACAGGTTTCCTTAGATTTATCAGGGTCATAACATTATTAAATATATTTAGTAGAGCAAAACAGTTGCATAATATAGGTTTACCACTGGCATTGAAATCTGGATCAATTTGAACAAGTACATTATTCCTGTGGTAATTTTGTATAATCTGTCATGTGATCTGCATAACTGTATATTGACATGGTACGTTCTATATTGTTGAATGATCTTACTTCAGATGACTGTGGAGGAAGGGAAGTCTTTTATTTCGGTTCCCAAGAGAGGTAGGTTACACAACCATAGCATCTGTGTCATGGGGAAGTTAAAGTAGGTTATAATACACTGGACCTGAAAGGGCAGGGGAATAGTTACAACAAGGAATTCCTGCCATCCATCCGTCTGTCCTTCCGATGACATTTTCCTTAGGATCTACAACTTGAGAACTACTGCATAGATCTTTTCAAACTTTTTATACCTAACGGAGAGGTACAGTGCAAAGTTTGATTTCAATGTTTGGAATATCTGTATAAATATGGCTTTTTTTCATATTTTTTCTTAAATGTTTTTACCTTAACATTTGTATGACCTTTAACCTGAAAATTCTGCATGGATTCTTTTCCATTTGGGGGAACAGTTTCTGTACCAATAGATTTGCAATGCAAGTTTGATTTGGATAAGTGGATTTTCTGAGAAAAGATTGCCTTCTCATGATGGAGTCGGGGGTATTAGTGAGCCCTGCACACCTTTTCTCTTGTTTAATAATAATAGTGCTATTTATGTAACGCTAACGTTCCACATTACTTCAGGACATGGAAAAAGTGCATATTTATTACCAATTCCATAGATGTGCATGTATAGCTATTTTTAACAAGGATAACTTGATATTATCTTTGATTGTGTTTTCAGAACTTATATTTCTGAATTTTGAAAGCACATTAGTGACTGTTTATTTTCACTTTTCAGAAACAGACAATCTTAAAAAGTAAAATAAAAAGTAATACCAAATATAGCTGAAATAAGAAGTAACGGTTTTGTACAAGTTTAATTACGTTGTCTTCAGACCAGACATCGGAGGAGATGGAGCGCACTAAACAGTTTGCCCTAGAAGTAGTTGACCTGCTGAAGCACAACCCGCGATGCCGCATGCCATTTAACAAGTTTATCCCTGCGTACCATCACCACTTCGGCAGACAGTGTAGAGTAGCCGACTATGGCTTCACTAAGCTTACTGACCTCTTCGAAGCTGTGCCTCAGGTTGTGGAGGTAAGCCCACTGCACATTAGACGAATGAAGGCTGAAATTCTGCATTGTCTTCCTTACTTGGAAAATGCCTTGCATGTCAATTGAGAATCTGAGGATGTCTGTTGAGTCAGTAATTTGGGACACCATAAGCAGTGCTGGTTGCATTTCTTGTGTATTGATATTGTTACCTGTTCAAAATTAACAATGCTGAGTAAAGATTATGTTGTTCAATTCTACAACTTTAGTTGCTTATCCAAGTCTAGTAACATTCCCTTTGGTCTAGTTTCATTGTCCATACAATAAGAATCTGAAGAAAATTATTCATAGAGCCAAGTTCAATCTATTAGACTGAACAGTTGTTGGCGCAGACTGTTCCCTGTAGACAATGATGTAAATACCATTGTGTTAGTGGTAACATTCTTTGGGCACTCTACTAAACATGAGTCCTCTACTCCAGCTGGAGGAGGAGGGTGATGAGAGACTGCTGCGGCTCACGCAGCCAGAGATGAGGAAGGTTCTGTCTGAACAGATCACAAACCTGCTCAAGATACAGCCAGGTCATGGCATGGTGAAGGACGAACTTTTACCAGCCTTCACTCGCCAGTTCAGCTTCAATCTTCACCTACAGGATTTCCAGGTGGTGTCACTAGATGCTCTGCTGGCCAGACTGAGACACATCATCAGTGTGAGTAGTGCCAATGTGGTGTTCAGATTGTGAGAATCAAATTCCTTTGACTTGACCATGGGGCCATCTTAGGCTTCTGAGATAACTGAGTATATGGAATTCTTTTTCTTCAGATTGAGACCTACAACAATGTGGAATATGTTGTGTTGATGAAGACCACAGAGTTGCCTCCCCTTGCCCTTCGTGTTCTGCAGCTGCTAATGGATCAGAGCTCTGGCTGTCTCCCCCTGGTGGAACTGTGCAGCTGGTACAAGACCACCTTTTCTGAAGAGTGTGATGTCCAGACCATCAAGGAGGAACTTGTAGATTTCGTTCATGTAAGTCCACAGCTGTTGAGATTCAAACTGTATTCAGGGTTTAAAAGCTGCTGCGAAAGCATAAGTCACTCACTCACATTCTAAAGAAATTCCTATCTGCAACATGAATCTTAAATCCTGTTATTTTTTCAAGCAATCATTATAACGTTATGCCAGAGGGGGAATGTAGATAAATGCAAGTAGAAGAATGTCAAATATTCAATTTGCGCCAAATGATAAGGATATGTAATCTGTAGACAATAAGATTTTGTTGTGCCAAGCACTAAAGTTGTTTTTACAGCAACATGGTCTGTTAATTATCTGAACTGTGACTTCTTCCAGGTGTCGGGGGACGATGATGGCTCAGCCGTGATCCGCCTGACAGCACTTCAGACTCTTGCTCGAGATATCCGCCACATGCTGATGCGCCATGGCCGAATCCCACTCCACCAGTTTGACAAGATATTCTTCGAGGTGCATGGAGTGGAGATGAAGCCAGCGCTGCATGGGTTCGACTGCACCCACACCCTCCTGCAGGCCATCCCCCATGTTGTGTCTGTTCGAGGGAAGGGTAACCGCAAATACGTGCAGCTCTCCCCAGCCATTAAAGTGCCAGGTCAGTTGCTGTAGTTCATGTCATGCTAATGTCATGCTTATGTCATGCTAATGTCATGCTAATGTCACTATAATAGGCATTTGTCATTTGAAATCAGTTTTGAAGTTGGAAGTTACTTGTCAGAAATATATTCCCTGCCATTTCACAAAAAACATTGGCATTTTCAAAATATTATGCGAGCTATATACCATGTGTGTTGAAAAATGATATTTTAGGTTAGTATCTGTGCTTTCGTCTATTTGGCCTCCATAGGTTTAGTTGAAAGGTCATGTCTCCATGTAGACACTAGATACGACATGATTCAAGAGAGCAGTACGCTCTGCTTGATCCCACTCAACACTTTTGTAAGCCAAGGATCCCTTGATTCGTATGTACTCACATCTCGGTGAAGCAGTTGAATTCCAAATAGAAAAGATCCCTGATTGCCATGCTTGTCCAAATAACCATTTGATGTTAACTGCTTAGTGAAGAATGTACCTGGATGGGATACATAATCTGTGCATAACATCACATAGCCTTTGTCTTGCTTGAGCCTTGACAACCACCTCTCACTTCTCCATGCTCTTGTTGTCATAGCTACTCTGCCAGCCTCGCTCAAAGCCAGTCCAGCTCGCATCTTCTTTTCCGGGGACCACAAGGCACTGAATGCTGGGAAGGGAGAGTCCTCGAACGATTCTGGTGTCAATGATGCTTTAGGTAGATACTCTTCCATTTGCTTTAGTCTTGCATAGGTGAATCAGGTTAATTCTTGTATTCTTGAGTATTTGTTTTTCAAGTGGTGCAGCCAGTGAAAATGGGATTTCTTGCTGATCTTACTCAGAAAAACATTGAGGAAAACCATATTTCAGGAGGAAGGTTTTTTCACTCAACCTAATCAAGTGAAATATTGATTGTAATACAGCCTATATATCTATAATAGTCTATATATAGCCACTGACACTTTCAGATGAGGAGCTTGACAGGTCCCATGTTGATGTACTGAGCCAGCCAGTGCCCTCTGCCATCCCATCCCCTGAGCTCAGACCAGATCTTCACCATGCCAAGGACCTCATTCAGCTTGACTCCCCACAAGGTACATGCAAAGGTCACCAGCTCTTGTAATCAATCAGAATATTGATCACAACTACTCAAAGGCAAAAGTAATGTTAAAGATTTATCGCCAAGTGAAAGTTAATTGCAACATGGGTGCTTTGGCTTTACAAGATGATCAATATACTAAGTACACAAAAGACCAACTGGATGTGTGTTGGTGGCATGATGAAAGACACCTCAAATTGTTTCATCTTCACACTGTTATGACCAGGTGTTACACTGTAAATGAAAAGAAACATTCTAGGCAGAAAGTTCATTTGAATCTTGAACATATTGAAAACTCAGATTAGTTCTAAGTCTATAATGAAAGGTTTTGTGTGCTTTTAAAACATGATCAGTTTTTTTATTTAAACATATTTCATTCATATCACGTGAAAAGGATTGAGTACAAATTTTTTTTATAATGCCTTCTCCTAAACCTATATACAATAATGCCCCTACACTGACAGGGATCGAATCATGAAGATCTGTTTAGAAAAAAGGTCTTCAGCAACCCTTGCTTGTCGTAAGAGGCGACCAACTGGGTCAGGTTTGCTGACCCAATTGTGTGGACCGATGCTCGTGATGTCAATCACTGGACTGTCTGGTCCAAACTACCGTTGTATCGCTGAACTATTGCTGAGTGTGGCATTAAACAACAAAACAGAAAAACAAACACTTACAGGGATCACAGGAAAGTGTGTACAAGCGACGAGAATAGTATGCAAGAATAACCATGAGTTACTCGAGCCAGACTAGGCATACATATTCTTTTCGAGTACAGGAAGCATGTTGGATGATCATGTATCCATGTTCAAAGTGCTTCTTTCAGGTTGATCATGGATTTTTTTTATTTTGGAATAGTTGTATGGGGATGTAATTAACGTTGTGACAGTGATAGGATTTAAAAGCATGAGAATATAACCAACAAACTTTTCACTGTTCTTAATTTTCGTTTTGCGTTGTAGACCAAGACATCTTGTTTCTGACTGATGAGGAGAAGCGAGGACAGAAAACTCCGCTTTGTCTGACTCCAACATCTGAGCTGCTGCAGTTTGCTGCCCAGTGTCTCGTCATCCGACCACCAGAGGGAGCTGGCAGCAGTCGCAGTACGTCACCTGCTGGTGACAGCCAACAGGGACTCGCTAGAAATAGTGCACTCACCCTGGCTGTCACGGCAACAGAATTCGGTGACCATGACCCTTCGTCATCCAATGAACTGCTGGAGCTACTTAAAGGAGGCTGGTGGAAGGCAAGTCCGGAACAACTGGAAGAAGTAAGCAGAACTTTCCGTGTTACAGCCTCGGGACGGGAGAGTCCAGCCGATCCAGCATTACGTAGCCATGGACACACTCCCAGTATAGAGCCCGCAGAGAAGTTACCTAATGGTGAAGAGTCTAAGCCAAGTGTTAGCTTGGCTACCTCCATCCTAATGGAAGTCTCTGCCTCTGAAGGAGGCAGCATCAACACCACTCTGAAGGATGCAAGCAGCAGTTTTAGCAGTGATGAAAGTAGTGAGCAGAATGTTGCCCACGATGTGTCCTTTGACGAGATGTTTAAAATGAGTATGCCCCTGGAGACAAGCTCCACTAAGTCCAGCACGGGGTCGACCACCGACACCCCAGTCTCCTCACCGAGGAAGTCCCGCTCCAGGATGGCAGCTAGGTTTGTTAACCCCATACACAATGACAGTGCTTGAGACAAAGAGTTGCTTGTGTAGGACAGCATGGCTAGTGTCAGGGTGGCCCTGCAACACAAGATGGGAAGTGTTCCATGAAGTATTTGAATAATATCCGGTTCATGGAGTGACACTAGAAGGAGGCCATGTTGGAATGTGAAGAATGAAGTGTACTCTTACAAGATGTATTTGTCAGCATGCGTGTCGCCTGGATGAGACATGCGGGCAGAAGTTTATGTAAATCCATGAAGACTGTCACTGGGGATGTAACATTTTACCCTGTAAAACAAGTTTTACGCTTTTAGAGTGATTACAAACCTAGACCTAGCATCTTGACGACATATTGTAGATTTCATCACTGAATTTTAGTGTTTTAAATTATAGTTTCACTTATGCTTGCGTATCTTCCTGTATGAGAAATGTTTTAATTTTGGTAATTCTTACATGAAGAATGTACATGAATTAGAAAATGAATTTAATTTGAATGTTTGGAAGTATGTCCTATTGAATTAGTTTTGCCATGTATTGGAAATACAATACAGATACCGCTGCCTCCAGGCACAAGTCACATTGTATCGGCTAGTCTCCAGGTACAAGTCACATTGTATCGGCTAGTCTCCAGGTACAAGTCACATTGTATCGGCTAGTCTCCAGGTACAAGTCACATTGTATCGGCCAGTCTCCAGGTAGGATTAGGTTTGTGTACTTGTATATACCAAGTACTTGTTTCTAGTTTCCAGGACACACAATGGGATGTGTTGTTTATGTTCAGTGGTGTTGTAGAGGAAGGGACATGATGGGACTCGCACCTAATGACCGCAGTTGAAACCTTGCAGTGTTACTGTATCTCAGTCTGTTGAAGAAAACAGTTTTGTTGAGTTTACAGATATTATCGAATCTAATGATTGCATTAGTTTCATGTTAACAGGGAGTTTTGAAAGCTGTTGCTGTGGTAACCACACTAATCAAAGTGATTCCTGATTGGTGCCGTGATTACACAGCTGGCTATCTGGTTGCAGGCCAACACTGGACCATGTAAACGCAGTATCGCCTGCATCATGGTCGGCCAGGTCATGGGTGACGTAGCTGGATACACAAGTTCAATGTCTTTCCCTTCTTTGGCAACTTGTCTTGTATGTATTACAAGTGTGATGGTTCATATTTAGTTACTAAAAGTTATTTGTACTTATTTACTTATTTTCGCTATATTAGTACATTTTCGTATGTATTTCTCCAAGTGCTAAAGTGTCATGTAGAGGTACATGACGGTAGTGATCTGGTACACCATCTTACAGGTGTAAGAGGGGATGATGCTGGCTCTAGGCCTCAATCTTGAGGCAAATTCATGAAGGAATAGGTTTATGAAGTGTATTTGCATTAAGTCCAGTTCAAGGTAATTCCTGCATGTGTGCATGCAGTGTATTGTACATGATTCTCAATGAATTTGCTGCTTTTCTATAATAAAAGTGCAAAAATATAAAAAGTTCTGAATTTATGGTGTCCCTGTCGTTCCCTTCACATGAAGCTAGTGTGACCTGTAGTTACTAATTCTCCAATGTTTTATGATAAGGTTTTCAGAAGTTTCAGCATCTGACTACCACGTGAGCCAAGATCTGTTTATCTGTATTTTCACATTATTTTAGTATGACACTTTTGATTTGAGATAGTTGACATCTTAACTTGTCCACAAATGTTTGCAAAAGACATTATCTTCTTATTTTGTATTCCACATTGAAGTTTCTATCTCCAGTGCTTGAAACAATGGTAAATAATGTGTCGAATCCCAAATTGAAACAATATGTATGTGAGAAACCAGTCAATTGTATTACAAAATTAACTAGGTTTACAAATCAACACAAATTGCAATAATTAGGATGGCAGTTGTCAGTATCACATACAAAAATAGTGGTGATAGCAAAAGTCAGTGATGATATATTCACCCAGCAGCGACAGTGGTCAAGCTTCCAAGATAAGCGATTCTCACATGAAAGTGTGAGAGACTCATAAACACTCATGTAAAGTTTCTATAATGTGCCCTCACGTCTAGAACTTAACATGTTTCTATAACATACTATCACCGTCCATGGTATACGGACCGGTATTTACACACCACACTAGCATCTAAAGATAACACAATGCGACGTGCATCTACCAAATCTCGACATAAATAATTTAACAGTTACATGGCAGTTTATTGTTTAACAATGATTGTAACAAATGCCAGTAAGACAAAGTATGGATAACTTCTTTATTTACTGTCAAGGGGACGTTTCGGTCAACTTCCAAGTAATGTCTATCAAACAGTTCAAATGCCAGTAAGGTTTACCTGAAATGGTCTTCATAGAATATATTCCAAAACTGACAAGTTCCTTTTTTATCTATACTAAGTTAGCTGATACATTGAATTGTGTACATCTGTTAAAATAGCCAGTTGTCATGTGCCAACAAACATGTGACCAATAATCAGATCACCTGTCAAAATGAGAGTATCTGACCAAAGCTGATACGTTTTAAAATTATTATTTTTTAAATCAACTCTCAGTAGCATGTATGTGATCCACAATGCAATCACAGCCTGGCACCATCTTATCATGCTCCAGATGCTTGTGGGCAATCCTTGGCAAGATTGTTAAAATTTTCAGTAAGAGCATTGCCAAGTTTCTGTAGTTGTTGGAAGGGACAGGACATCGCGAGAGGGTGGTCTGCAACTCTTTCCACATGTGTTCGTTGAGGTCTGATGACCGATAGGCCGCTGAAACTAAGGTGCACCTCCCCTCACTGACAGTTCTCGGCCACGGACACCAAGGTGCACCTCCCCTCACTGACAGTTCTCGGCCACTGACACCAAGGTGCACCTCCCCTCACTGACAGTTCTAGGCCGCTGACACCAAGGTGCACCTCCCCTCACTGACAGTTCTCGGCCACTGACACCAAGGTGCACCTCCCCTCACTGACAGTTCTCGGCCACTGACACCAAGGTGCACCTCCCCTCACTGACAGTTCTAGGCCGCTGACACCAAGGTGCCTACATGGTCCTTGGTTCAGTTGAAGTGGACATATTCTGTTCCCTCAATAAGATTCAGAGAGGCCAAATTCTCCTCAAAACTGCCACTTGTTAGGTCCTGGGGGAAAAAGAAACAAGAAGATATACCATTTTTACAGGCAATAATGGTTTACAGTATGCCAGTCATTTATTTTGTCTAGAAAATCATGTCATGGTGTACAGCCTTCACAGGTTAGAATAGGACTTCAGTAACCCATGCTTGGCGTAAAAGGCGACTAACAGAAACGAGTGGTCAGGCTCTTGGACTTGGTTGAGCATGTTATCATATCCCAGTTGTGTGGATCGATGCTCTGGTCCAACTCGATTATTTGCAGACCGCCATCATATAGCTGGACTATTGCTGAGTGCAGCGTTAAACAACAAACAAACACATGAAATTGTCCCTGAATATCATTGACTGAAAAACATACTTAAATGTTCCACACAGCGATAACAATGACCATCGGACCCGGATTACAGTAGGTCCTGAGCACTCTATTGGTGGGCGTGAGAGGCGAATAAATTTAATCAGTTCGTCAAGCTCAGTTGATTGTGTATCAACTTACCCTGATGGCCTAAGATGTTCATCATATCAAACTTTGGTTTGTCTGGCCCAGCCATAATTATTCAGGAGCCCATGTGATACGATACAGCTAGGATATTGCTGACTGTGAGGCAAAACAAACAAACTAGGATTACCTGTTTCACACAGATGATGAGCGGTGGAATGGCAGTACTGAAATGCATGATGGGAAGTCGGGGTTTAGGACGCTCCTGCAACAATACAACATACACACTGTGACATTACAACATACACAATGTGACATTACAACAATACAACATGCACAATGTGACATCACTACAATACATACAATACAATACAGACCCCCCTAGACTTTTCCTCTTTTTTCGGGAAAACCTGCTCACATCCCTGAACAATACAACATACACAATGTGAGATCACTACAATACAACATACACAATGTGAGATCACTACAATACATACACAATGTGACATCACAACACTACAACATACACAATGTGACATCACAACAAAACAACATACACACTGACATCACAACAAAACAACATACACACTGACATCAAAACACTACAACATACACACTGTGACATCACAACACTACAACATACACACCGTGACATCACAACACTACAACATACACAATGTGACATCACAACAATACAACATACACTCTATGACATCCCAACACTACAACACTACAACATACACACTGTGACATCACAACAATACAACATACACAATGTGACATCACAACACTACAACATACACAATGTGACATCACAACAATACAACATACACTCTATGACATCCCAACTCTACAACACTACAACATACACACTGTGACATCACAACAATACAACATACACAATGTGACATCACAACACTACAACATACACACTGTGACATCACAACAATACAACATACACAATGTGACATTACAACAATACAACATACACAATGTGACATCACAACACTACAACATACACAATGTGAGATCACTACAATACATACAATACAATACAGACCCCCCTAGACTTTTCCTCTTTTTTCGGGAAAACCTGCTCACATCCCTGAACAATACAACATACACAATGTAAGATCACAACACTACAACATACACAATGTGACATCACAACACTACAACATACACAATGTGAGATCACTACAATACATACACAATGTGACATCACAACACTACAACATACACAATGTGACATCACTACAATACATACACACTGTGACATCACAACACTACAACATACACACCGTGACATCACAACATACACAATGTGAGATCACTACAATACATACACAATGTGACATCACAACACTACAACATACACAATGTGACATCACAACAATACAACATACACACTGACATCAAAACACTACAACATACACAATGTGAGATCACAACAATACAACATACACAATGTGACATCACAACAATACAACATACACACTGTGACATCACAACAATACAACATACACACTGACAACATACACTATGACATCACAACAATACAACATACACAATGTAAGATCACAACACTACAACATACACAATGTAAGATCACAACACTACAACATACACAATGTGACATCACAACACTACAACATACACAATGTGAGATCACTACAATACATACACACTGTGACATCACAACACTACAACATACACAATGTAAGATCACAACACTACAACATACACAATGTGACATCACAACACTACAACATACACAATGTGAGATCACTACAATACATACACACTGTGTCATCACAACACTACAACATACACAATGTGAGATCACTACAATACATACACAATGTGACATCACAACACTACAACATACACAATGTGACATCACTACAATACATACACACTGTGACATCACAACACTACAACATACACACCGTGACATCACAACATACACAATGTGAGATCACTACAATACATACACAATGTGACATCACAACACTACAACATACACAATGTGACATCACAACAAAACAACATACACACTGACATCAAAACACTACAACATACACAATGTGAGATCACAACAATACAACATACACAATGTGACATCACAACAATACAACATACACACTGTGACATCACAACAATACAACATACACACTGACAACATACACTATGACATCACAACAATACAACATACATACTGTGACATCACAATATACATACTGTGACATCACAACAATACAACATACACACTGTGACATCACAACAATACTGCACAAAGTTATATTCTGGTGCTACAACTTCAACATGCTATTCTAATGTCACAATATATCCTATAAAGCATTATATTATTTTAATCATCCAGTTTAGTCCATAAGTGCAGTTGTATTCCACAAAACAAACACAGTATATATTGTATCCATCTGCCTGAGACCACTGTAGAAATGGTGGTGGTGGAGGAATTGCCTCCCTTACCTTGGACTCCTCGTAGATGTACACTCCTTTACTGATCTTCTTTGCATCCACATCACAGAAGCCACACACCTGCAACACCAAACTCATACATCACTGGAGGGCCATACAGTTTGTATCTTGCAGTAGAGACACTTACCACAAGTACACATAGATTCAGGCTTCCAGGCCGGCCTGTAGGGCAAAATATACTCAACTCCAAAAGAAACGCAAGTTGTACATAAAATGGTGATGATGTTATGACCATAAAAAATATGAAGATAATATTTTAGAAATGATAACAGAGAAAACATTTGATAACAAATTGGCATTGATTGTTTGATGACAACCGTCCGTGTTTATTGAAAAATCCCTCCGAAAACAGGGAACCCCCAAAACTGAAAAATGACAATGAAAAAAATTTTAAATGTGTCGGTCGTGTCCATTAATAGCATGGCCTCTGTTAGCTGTAAATCAGGCCACACATCGCCATCTCATTGAGTCGACAAGTCTTTGGAAGAAGGCTTGAGGAATCTTGTTCCATTCCCGCAGCGAAAAATCTTCCAGTTCCTCAAGTGTATGAGGCTTCCTTGCAGCCTGAAGACTTCTCCCAATCTTGCCCAAGACACGCTTAGTTGGCACCAGGTCCGATGACATACACGGCCAGGGCATCACAGGAATGTTATTCACTCTGTGCAAGTCCACAGAGACCCGTGCTGTGGGGACGAATGTTGTCCCGCTGACAGACATGGAGTTGAGCTTGACCCAGGAAGAGAGGTGTGACGTGATTACAAAGAACATCATCCCTGTACACGACAGCAGTCACACGCTGATGGAAGACGTGTAGAGGGGTAACTGCAGCCTTCCCACACCATGATGCTTATTCCTCCCCACCGGTCAGCCTGTAAGACACAGCAGTTAGCGTAACGCTCATTACGTCGTCTCCATACTCTGATGTGGCCATCAGTATGAGAAAGGGCCCACTACACATGTTGTTGGTGGTGACGTTGAGTCAGTATCTGATAGCATCTGATTCCCGCCATTCTTAGACGACAAACTGTGTCAGCAGACACAGGATGACGTGGATCTTGAATGGTTGCAGCAGTCTGTGTGGCTTGTCGCTGTCCGTCACCCGAATGTAACGGTCCTGCACTGGAGTAGTGACCCTCGGCCGTCCAGAACGAGGCTGGACTTGGACAGTGTCTGTCTGTTGATGCCCTGCGGCCAATCTGGTGATGGCAGACACATGACATCCAAAGTGCCAGCCACTGCAGTTGATGCTGATCCGGCCTGTAGCATCCCATTGGCATCGTCTCTCTGAAGTTCAGTTAATCCAGTGTGAAATGCTTGGTGTTTTTTTTATATTGTGGCTTATAAAGGTGGACAAGGATGGGATTTGTGATTTGCCCTGCACATGTTAAGAAACATCATCACTAACAAGATGCCATACAGCTGTACTTATACTAACTGGAAAAACATCATCACTCACAAAATGTCCAACATTGACATTACTTCAGACACATTCACCAGTATATATACTTGAGCTTTCACAGGAGTTAGGTTCATGCAGGTCAAATATCAAACAATGTCTACATATGTCCCTTACATTCCTGGCTACACAAAGAATTTCATCTTGTACTTACACTGCATCTTGCATCAAATTCCACTCACTAAGTTTTGTATGTAATGATCAGATTACAATACATTTCACCTACCTTCTTCTGATTCTCAGGTGTAAGAGAACGAAAGAGTTTTCTCCCCTGTTTCCCAGCATTCCAGATTGTGAATTTGGACCAATGAGACAGTACCTGTTTCTGTAGGAAGTCAACTCTCAGATTCCAGATGGTGTCCCTGAAGGAAAGCTTCAAATCATACATACCGGTAACATGGCAACATTGGAGTAACAACAGGGAGGGTTTGGCAGACTCATGGAAAGATATGTATCTTGTTAAAGCCACAGTCAGCAATATTCTAGTCACATCATGGCAGCCTGATAATATTGTTTTTTGTTGTTTAACGCTGCACTCAGCAATATTCCAGCTAAATAATGGTAAATATCCAACTAGGACTCTCATCTATACCCTGTACATCACGACCAGTGAAGATCTGGGTTAGAATAGGTCTTCAGCAACCCATGTTTGCCGTAAGGGGCGTCTATGCTTATTGTTAGAGGCGACTAACAGGATCAGGTGGTCAGGCTCACTGAATTGGTTAATGCATGTCATCCCAATTGCATAGATTGATGCTCATAACATCAATCACTGGATTGTGTGGTCCAGACCTGATTATGACTACCATCGTATAGCTAGAATATTGCTGAGTGCAGTATAAAACAACAAACAAACAAACAAACAAACAAACAAAAACCTGTACATGACTTGCTTGATAATGGTGTTAGAACCTACACTGAAACACGTTCCTAAATGTAATAAAGAAGTTGTTCATCCATATATCATATTTCTTGATCAACTTCATGTTAGAATGGTTTGATGAGGCATTAATATTCAGCAATATCATGGCAGGGAACACCAAAACGGAGCTGTACACATTGTGCCCATGTTGGGAATCGAACCTGGGCCTTTGGCCCATTTTTACCACTGGGCTACCCCATGGCCCCTCAACATGGTGTCATCAACTTGTCATCTATTCAACTAGGTCTCCAGTGCTACATGCTTCTATCACCTGTATGAAATGAATAGGTGCAAGTAGACCATTGATCACAGCAACTGTGATATAGACAATTTGTCTTGTCATCTGCCTGAGACAGACATACTCATGGACAGAGAATGTTGTGGCTTGTGGGTGGTATCTGTAGGTGAGCAGGTCTCGGTCCACACGCACCACGTCCCCATCCAGGTCCAGGTGTCGGTAGAAGAACATCAGGTCCTCTGGAACTCCCTGCACAGATGAGACAGATGAGACAGATAAGACATCAGTATGCAGGAATAATGTAGTGATATATGGAATCGCTGATCAAACATTACATCTCCATTGATTCCCTAGCACAAGACACAACAATAGAACTGCTGCGAGACAAAATGAGATTCAACAATAGAATTGCTGAGACAGAATGAGACACAACAACAGTGAGTGAGTGAGTGAGTGAGTGAGTTGGGTTTAACATCGTTTTTAACAGTATTCAAGTTATATCACGGCATGTCAGCTTAATGTGGGAGGAAAGCCCGAATTGATGCAGGTCTCAGACGTTTACCACTTCGGTGAAACCCACAAGCACGGGTATGGTGCTGACAAACCTAGAAACATAATTGGGGCAAACCGGGATTCAAACCCACAATAATAGGTTTCTAGCGTGCCCAAGGGACGCAACTCTACACAGCAAATCGTGGCGCCTTAGACGACTGGGCCACCCGTGCCCCCGACACAACAGAATTGCTGTGAGACAAAATGAGGTACAACAACAGAATTGCTGTGAGGCAAAGTGAGAGGTGAGTCTGAATGGTAAGCATATTTAATCCACTCGCACAAACATGTCCTGCAGTAACTATAGCTCATACATAAGCGGAACATAATGTAACTGAACATTGGCATTAGTCTAGCTGCTGAAGTACTTGACAATTCCTCTGATCAAAACCCACCTTGCCACCTTCATCGAAGCCACTGACTTTGTTGAACACTTTCCTGGAGCAAAACCATGTTGGCATGATGACAGTTGGTCCGTGCGATGTGAACACCTGGGAGACAAGACATGTCCTTACTCACAATTAAAGGTTACTCTGGTTTTACTCCCACTCACAGTATAACTCATCAAGGTTTTATATGCTATGATTCATATCTCTTCCAGACTTGACTACTTACAGGTGACGTGAAGTGGGGTTTAATGTAGAGATCAAGATTATTTCACTCATACAGCAGCATGCATGGATGTGTGTGTGTGGCGGCTTGTACTAGTCCGGATCAATGACAGTTTTCTACTACAAGCCCACTGAGTAACAAAGATACCAACTCACACACAGTATACTGACTCCATGCAAACCAGTTCTTGTGTTATCCCCATAATTCAGAGTGACAGGCAGGGTAACAACAAGTACCATCTTTTAACATCGTTTGGTAGGATGCGCCTGGGGCTCAAACCACCCCACATATAGTGTTTCTCATCTTAGTGTTTCACATATAGTGTTTCTCATCTTAGTGTTTCACATATAGTGTTTCTCATCTTAGACAAGAATAATAAGGACCGCCTCCCTGGTCTAGTGGAAGAGCGACTGCCCGGAAAGGGGAAGGTTGGTGGTTCGATCCCTGGCCACATAATACCAAAAGATGTTAAAAGATGGTACTTGTTGACAGACAGACAGACATATATGTCGCAATATAAGTGCAATAATTTAGAATGCGAAGAAACTCCATTTCGCTTCACTTCACAAGATCAATAAGGGAATTTCCATTTAATATTCGAGGGGAGGAGTACTCTGAAAGGAAGAGCTGAGTACTTACTTTTTTTTCAAAATACATTTATTTGCTGAAACAGCCAACAATTACAGGGCAGGTGTGTTTTTTCTCCACTTTTCAGTGAGTTCCCACAACACTTACCTGTAGAGGCAGCTGGTCCGGAGACAGGGAATTAGCCCACCGGGTGAACCTGAGCGTGGAGTCTCCAGGTGTACGATGGAAGCAACAGCCAATTATCTACAACACAGCATTGCTGCACATCAGATCCAGAGTGGCGTCCTGTTATAGTACACTGGTATCACGATACATCGGTACAAGGATACAAATAGCTGGTACCAGTCATTTTCAGGAAAATAACCTTATCAACTAATCAGTAGATATGGCGGACATTATGTGAGCTATATCATTCTCAGATGATTCTGAATAGTTCATAAAAATTATGATGACTGCTTCGTCTTTTAACGTTTCTGACAAAATTTATATTTCTTCTCTCACTGAGAAGTGTTCCTTCCATCTGATCAAGAGGACTCACAGCATTTGGGTGTGCCCTGGCAGCCTCAATCTGACTTCTGATGCGGTCACAGTGCATCACGTCATCCTACAACAAACATCTTTATTCTTTAAGCATACACTGGACAATATTGATTTGAATGTTATATCAATGACTTGCATTTTGTCATATTCTAATATGTTTTGTCTAGTGCCTTGGTATCCATTTCTGCCTGAGAGAACAATATCTGAAGATCATACTCGCAGACAGACACGTTTGGGGTAGTTTTTACATTATTTCCATTTTATGATGTGAAGAGATGGATTCATTTCCCAATCATTTTAATGAATCTCTGTTTGGTTGATACTTAATGTCCTTCAGATGCATGTTTCTTCATTGCTTTAATAAGGTTTACACAGTGCAGGAAGGGAAGTGGTGTTAGTTTGTAAATATAAACAGAAATCAAATTAAACATAAATGGGAACAATGACACATGATTTGTGCTGTATGACAAAGTATAGAGTGCTGCATGTCAGTAAAATGTGCACTAATGTCATGGAGCATATAGTGTGTCAGTAAAGTAAGTACCTACAGCATAGAGTGTGTCAGTAAAGTAAGTACCCACAGCATAGAGTGTGTCAGTAACGTATGTACCCACAGCATAGAGTGTCAGTAAAGCATGTACCCACAGCATAGAGTGTGTCAGTAAAGTATGTACACACAGCATAGAGTGTGTCAGTAAAGCATGTACCCACAGCATAGAGTGTGTCAGTAAAGTAAGTACCTACAGCATAGAGTGTGTCAGTATAGTAAGTACCTACAGCATAGAGTGTGTCAGTAAAGTATGTACCCACAGCATAGAGAGTGTCAGTAAAGTATGTACACACAGCATAGAGTGTGTCAGTAAAGCATGTACCCACAGCATAGAGTATGTCAGTAAAGTAAGTACCTACAGCATAGAGTGTGTCAGTAAAGTAAGTACCTACAGCATAGAGTGTGTCAGTAAAGTAAGTACCTACAGCATATAGTGTGTCAGTAAAGTAAGTACCTACAGCATAGAGTATGTCAGTAAAGTAAGTACCTACAACATAGAGTGTGTCAGTAAAGTAAGTAGCCACAGCATAGAGTGTGTCAGTAAAGTATGTACCCACAGCATAGATTGTGTCAGTAAAGCATGTACCCACAGCATAGAGTGTGTCAGTAAAGTAAGTAGCCACAGCATAGAGTGTGTCAGTAAAGTAAGTACCCCCAACATAGATTGTGTCAGTAAAGCATGTACCCACAGCAAAGAGTGTGTCAGTAAAGTATGTACCCACAGCATAGAGCGTGTCAGTAAAGCATGTACCCACAGCATAGATTGTGTCAGTAAAGTATGTACCCACAGCATAGAGCGTGTCAGTAAAGTATGTACCCACAGCATAGATTGTGTCAGTAAAGTATGTACCCACAGCATAGAGTGTGTCAGTAAAGTATGTACCCACAGCATATAGTGTGTCAGTAAAGCATGTTCCCACAGCATAGAGTGTGTCAGTAAAGTAAGTACCCAAAGCATAGAGTGTGTCAGTAAAGTAAGTACCCACAGCATAGAGTGTGTCAGTAAAGCATGTACCCACAGCATAGAGTGTGTCAGTAAAGTAAGTACCTACAGCATAGAGTATGTCAGTAAAGTAAGTACCTACAGCATAGAGTGTGTCAGTAAAGCATGTACCCACAGCATAGAATGTGTCAGTAAAGAAAGTACCTACAGCATAGAGTGTGTCAGTAAAGTATGTACCCACAGCATATAGTGTGTCAGTAAAGTAAGTACCCACAGCATAGAGTGTGTCAGTAAAGTATGTACCCACAGCATAGAGTGTGTCAGTAAAGTAAGTACCTACAGCATAGAGTGTGTCAGTAAAGTATGTACCCACAGCATATAGTGTGTCAGTAAAGCAAGTACCTACAGCATAGAGCGTGTCAGTAAAGTAAGTACCTACAGCATAGAGTGTGTCAGTAAAGTATGTACCCACAGCATATAGTGTGTCAGTAAAGTATTTACCTACAGCATAGAGCGTGTCAGTAAAGTAAGTACCTACAGCATAGAGTGTGTCAGTAAAGCATGTACCTACAACATAGAGCGTTTTTAGTAAAGTAAGTACCTACAGAATAGAGTGTGTCAGTAAAGTAAGTTCCTACAGAATAGAGTGTGTCAGTAAAGTAAGTACCTACAGAATAGAGTGTGTCAGTAAAGTAAGTACCTACAGAATAGAGTGTGTCAGTAAAGTCAGTACCTACAGAATAGAGTGTGTCAGTAAAGTCAGTACCCACAGCATAGAGTGTGTCAGTAAAGCATGTATCCACAGCATAGAGTGTGTCAGTAAAGTAAGTACCTACAGAATAGAGTGTGTCAGTAAAGTCAGTACCCACAGCATAGAGTGTGTCAGTAAAGCATGTACCCACAGCATAGATTGTGTCAGAAAAGTAAGTACCCACAGCATGGAGTGTGTCAGTAAAGTAAGTACCTGCAGCATAGAGTGTGTCAGTAAGGTATGTACCCACAGCATAGAGTGTGTCAGTAAAGTATGTACCCACAGCATATAGTGTGTCAGTAAAGTATGTACCCACAGCATATAGTGTGTCAGTAAAGCATGTACCCACAGCATAGAATGTGTCCTTAAAGTATGTACCTACAGCATATAGTGTGTCAGTAAAGTAAGTACCCACAGCATAGAGTTTGTCAGTAAAGTATGTACCCACAGCATAGAGTGTGTCAGTAAAGTATGTACCCACAGCATATAGTGTGTCAGTAAAGTAAGTACCCACAGCATAGAGTGTGTCAGTAAAGTATGTACCCACAGCATATAGTGTGTCAGTAAAGCATGTACAGACAGCATAGGGTGTGTCAGTAAAGTATGTACCTACAGCATAGAGTGTGTCAGTAAAGTAAGTACCTACAGCATAGAGTGTGTCAGTAAAGTAAGTACCCACAGCATAGAGTGTGTCAGTAAAGTATGTACCCACAGCATAGAGTGTGTCAGTAAAGTAAGTACCCCCAACATAGAGTATGTCAGTAAAGTATGTACCCACAGCATATAGTGTGTCAGTAAAGTAAGTACCCACAGCATAGAGTATGTCAGTAAAGTAAGTACCCACAGCATAGAGCGTGTCAGTAAAGTAAGTACCTACAGCATGAGTGTGTCAGTAAAGTATGTACCCACAGCATATAGTGTGTCAGTAAAGTATTTACCTACAGCATAGAGTGTGTCAGTAAAGTATGTACCTACAGCATAGAGTGTGTCAGTAAAGTTAGTGCTCACAGTATATAGTGTGTCAGTAAAGTAAGTACCCACAGCATATAGTGTGTAAGTAAAGTATGTACCCACAGCATATAGTGGGCCAGTAAAGTATTTACCTACAGCATAGAGTGTGTCAGTAAAGTAAGTACCCACAGCATAGAGTGTTTCAGTAAAGCATGTACCCACAGCATATCGTGTGTCAGTAAAGTATGTACCCACAGCATATAGTGTGTCAGTAAAGTTAGTGCTCACAGTATATAGTGTGTCAGTAAAGTGTGTACCCACAGCATATAGTGTGTCAGTAAAGTAAGTACCCACAGTATATAGTGTGTCAGTAAAGTTAGTGCTCACAGTATAAAGTGTGTCAGTAAAGTTTGTACCCACAGCATATAGTGTGTCAGTAAAGCATGTACTCACTGCATCCAGGAAACAGAGGAAGTCCCCTGTACTCTGTCTGACAGCCATGTTCTTTGCATAGCCAACTGTAAAACATCCCAAAGTTGTACATCAGAAAGTTGTACATCAGAAAGTCGTACATCAGAAAGTTGTACATCAGAAAGTTGTACATCAGAAAGTTGTACATCAGAAAGTCGTACATCACAAAGTTGTACATCACAAAGTTGTACATCACAAAGTTGTACATCACAAAGTTATGAACACAAAGAATACCATCCTAAAGTATTTCAACTTGATACATCACAAAGCACTTACCTCCCCTGGGCTGTGCATCGGTATGTCCACCTGTGACCACCTCTATACCGTGATGCTCCAAGCGCTGTCTCCATGTCCCGATCAGGTCACTTGTACCATCCTAAGGCGGAAACATTCATTAGCGACAAAATGGAGCTATAAAAACATTTTCCTAGCATACATATGTTACCTCTCATCACATAACACACATAGAAATAAACCTGTTTGTGTTGTCAGCATGTCTTGGCTGCTTCACAGAATGCAGTACTGTGTCTCACCGTGCTTCCATCGTCATACATCGACAGCTGGAGACGGCCACTGAATGTCTGCTGCTCTACTGACTCCAGACACTCACACAACCACTTCTCTCCATTGTAGACAGGGACTATCACGCTCTGTAACCAACAAGGACTTCGTTATAGCATGGATAGATACAATAAATTATGATAATATATTTAGTCACACAGGTATACACTCATTACGATACTCATAAAACATTGTAAATATTTGGAGCAGCATCTTGTTATTCTTTATACAGAGTTGGGCATTACAATATCATAATACCAGTCTACACACTTACCGTATATCAATATTGCAACAACATATCACAGTTACATCCACAGGGGCTTGTCATGCAAAAATAAGCAGCAATATATATAAGGTCACTAATGGGGTCATAGTACTACCGGTATATAAAATCCTGTTATATAGTAGTATGACCCTGTTAGTGACCGTATATATCTTGCTGATAATTTTAGCGTTCCAACCCCTGTGTGTACATCTACACCAAAATAACATGTTTTAACTTTGTCATCAACATGACTAAAAAATCACACCTCCTACTGGTAATCTTTCAATATTAGGGCTCTTCTCAGTATATGGTTTATTATATCCATGTCCCTCAAAACACCTCAGTTTTCTACCTACATTCTTATTGGAGATTTCAGTTCAATCGACCCAGTTCTACATTGTAAATATATAGGCTATGTAGGCTAGACCACAGGACCATGTAACTAATAATAATAACAAACAAACTCGCAGACGATGCCAAAAGCCTTAGGCCTCCTCTACGCATTTTTTGCGAGTTTGTTTATTAGTACTACTACTACTACTACTACTAACTACTACTACTTCTACTAACTACTACTACTACTTCTACTAACTACTACTACTAACTACTACTACTTCTACTAACTACTACTACTTCTACTAACTACTACTACTACTACTTCTACTAACTACTACTACTTCTACTAACTACTACTACTACTTCTACTAACTACTACTACTACTTCTACTAACTACTACTACTACTATCAGTAACATGTTCCTTTGGCTAGAGTCTACAATGTGTAGGACAGGGCAGCCGAATGCCATTCCACCTCCAAAGACAACAAGACTTGAACAAGTGTATTCTCACCACATCAGCCATAATCTGCTACAATGCATCTCGATCTATATACTGCTATTCTAAATCTGATCAGGCACACATGCCTTGTTGACGTCTTGTCAGGGGCACGTAACTCTAATATCGTTATATTTCTTCAACTTTTCATAAACATCGCATCAAATCTAAGTTCGAATCTATATGCGTGCTCATTAATTTCACAACAGCCTTTGATTTTTATCTTCGACAATAAAGAAAATAACAATTGCTTCCTGTTTTGCAAACTAAATATGAAGTAGCTTTGTAATTCACAAAGAATAGATCTAGAGCTGTATCAATATATATACCCCCGCCCCCCTCACCACCACCCCGCTCTCATGTACGTCAGTTTGAGTTTTAGGATCAATAGTTAATATAATTATATAACTGACGCTAAGGACAGATATCTAGTAGAGCATACCGAGGAGGAAAGTTACATTGTGATAAGATAAGATAAGATAATATTTATTGCAGAAACGTTCCATTACGGGACAGATGCAATTTTAAAAGACAAGACATTATGAATCATATAAACATATATACAGACATCCATAATTTACATTCCTGTAGACACATACAAAAACAATAATATATGATATGTGGGTTTCAGCACTGCGAGACTGTCAACAGTTTAGGGGAGAGTTATCTCCCTTTGATCAGGACAGTCGTCTTTCTGTCCCGACTCTCGATTCAATACCTGCGGTCCAATATATTTCACACCAGGCCATGGCGGTGCAGGTCTTATCCGCTGTTGTGGACAGATTATGTATACAGACATTCGTAAATATGGAAATAAATATCACAAACAGCACGCAAACCTAAACACCATGGCCTTCCAGACGGCCGCGCACAGTAGGTTGCTGTCATTGAAGTTTGTTCCCATGACTTTGTAGCCTTTTTTACCCAAGCCACATCTTTTCTTTGTAGAGGCAAACGGTAGGCAATTTGCACGTGTTTGTATCATGGAGTAGCTCTCCCTGTCCTTGTAAATGACATTAAAACCCAACATATTCAGAATTCATTTAATAACACGCCCTTCTAAACAATGTCCCCAGCGCCAGTCTATTACGTAAATATATAACAATCTTATAGATAGATCATTAGAAGAGTGTGTTTACTTGACATGTTCCATGTCTTGAAAGAAAATGTGTAATGGCTCCCCCTAAAACTGTGGCCCCTTTTTTTCAGAGAAAGAAATATATGTTTTGAAGCTGTGACAGAAAAATATTAGGTCGCGAACGAAAGACCCCGAAAAATTGCTTTTGGGTACGTCTAAAAATAACTGTAGAGACATTACCATGTGTTCATGATTTATTCCCCCGAAGATTTCACTCCGAGCGGCAATGTCTGGATAAAGGCGCTTTCCTTGTCTCTGTTCCCCGCTAGTCATCCTCAACAAGATGATCAAAATCGTTGCACTTATATAGCGACGCACATGCAGCACTCAGTGGATGCCCCACTCGAAACAGTAGACAATGCTTGTCGCATAAGGCGACTAACGGGATCGGGTGGTCAGGCTCGCTGACTTGCTTGATGCATGTCATCGTATCACAAATGCGTGGATCGATGCTCATGATGTCAATCACTGGATTGTATGGTCCAGACTCGATTATTTACAGACCGCCGTCACATAGCTGGAATATTGCTGAGTGCGGCGTTAAACAAAAAAACCAAAAAAACAGATACAGTATACTAGCTGTCTCCGACCGATGCATCAAGTGCATTACTTTGGGCTTTCCTCCTACATTAAGCTGACACTCCGTGACATAATTGGAATACTGTCCAAAGCGGCGTTAAACCCAACTCACTCACTCACTAACCCACCATTGAGGGAAACAACAAACCATCTTTTAATGTCATTTGGTATGACGTGGCCAGGGGATCGAACCACCGATCTTCCGCTCTCGGAATAGAAGCTCTATCCACTAGACCACGAACGCAGCCTCCTCAACCAGAGAACAGTCTGTGGAAGGAGAAGATAGAGTACGCACTACGTACTCCACATGACGCTCTGTATAACATGTTTATAGAGCTGAGAGCGACAAGGCGGGATGTTTTCACAGTCGTAATATGGCCGCAACATCTCGTCAAGTGGGGGGAAATAGCAGAAGGCATGTGATGAACATATTTGGGTTTTCATCAGCTGACCTTTGCTGCAGATACATTCATGTTGTTTCTAAATCTCAATGTTGCGTCGAAAAAAAACAAGAAACCGCTGGCAGATTAATGCGACAATGTGGCTACCATTTACACCATTTAATCCGGAAGGGAAGCATTGTTGTTCCGGGGAAAGTGAAAATAGTAGGGGTATGAAACAACAGCCCGTAGTGGGAAGCAGGTGTGTCTTCCCGCCGCGTGGTAGATATCTAATATACCACATCCCAGGGGGACGTGTTGGAGATGGGGGTCGGGATTCTCCTCTCCAGGGGAGGAGCACGTGAGTGGCCTCGTGAGACAGTGACTCATCTAGCTCTGGCGAACACACGAGTAAAAAAGACTAACACTTGAACCGACGTGGCACTTCCTAGACTGACATTTAGTTAATAAAGTTATCTTTCTCAATATATCTATAAGATAAAAATGATACAATCCAAATGGAGCCTAGACCAATGCTTAATTTCAGGGACTCTCGAGCTGAGACAATCAAGACTTGACCAATCGTTCCAGACTTGAGTTGGACTCCATTTGTAATTTATCCTCTAGGGCTGGGGGAGGGGCAGACTAAACACTTCCTAACTGAAGATATAAGTCATGATGAAAAGAAGTACAATATCAAATGATTATCAACACTCTTATGCAACTTGTACTTTGACAATATGTCGGAATTTTCAATAAGTTACATTATTAAAAAAATAAATAAACAAAAACAAATCGAATTAAGTAGCTTCTTTATACGCAAACGAAAGCACAAGAACCTGAAATGAAATGTTGTTTCAAGGACCTTCTAATCACACATCTACTTTCAGTTTGCATTTAGTTTAAATTTAGTTACGAATAAAAATATACTGACACAGCAGACATGCGTTTCGTCTCTTTTGATCTATGAACATCAGCAAAGTGTTCGGTGTAATGGGACCGATAGATGCAAATGGGAGGCTCACTTGTTCAGTATCAGATATTAATCTTAGACAAACACAAACAGTAGGTGTTGGAAGTACAGCAAGCCCTGGTGGCGCCATGACAGCACGCTGTCCGCACGCAAACCAGACGTCAACAAACAGAAAAAAGAATATGTGATATGTGACCTCGGTTGCACTATAATAGAGCTGATTAAGATTAACACTCTTATCATTGCAATATTTGGAATAAATACAAGTTGAGTTAACAACAGTTCAGATTTCATGAATTTAGATAAAAATCTGAGAATGTATTACATAGACTCTCAGCGTGGCTAAACGTGCATGATACGTGACGTGGTGATGTGAGGTGAAATGGGGTTTATCGCTGCGTTCAAGATTATTGCACTTGTATAGCCACGTGCATGCACGAACGCGTGTGGCTGTTTGTACTAGTCCGGAATAATGCCGGTATTATAGTGGTAGCACACTGAGATAATATGTCGCAGTTTAATATGAATACCCCACTAAGACATAGCATACTGACTCCGAGCCGACCAGTCCTTGTTTAATCGCCTTAATGCCGAGTGCCAGACAGGATAACAACAAGTTCCATCTTTTAACGTCTTTTGGTATGGCGCGGCAGGGGATCGAACCCCGGACCTTCCGATTTCCGGGCGGATATGCTGTACCACTAGACCAGGAAGGAGGTCAGTAAATACATGGATCCGGGGAAGACACACTCGTGCTTCATAGTTGATACAGACGTTTCTGTGGGCACTGGGGATATACATGAGTTCATTGTAACGTCGTCTTTGAACAGTATTTCAGTTATATCATGGTGCGTCAGCTGGATGTGTGGGGAAGGCCTAAAGTCATGCAGGAATGAGACGTTTACCACTTTGGTTAGAATTTAGCCTCGGAAATACCTGACCACGTGATCCTTTAAAGCCTCCTACGACCAGCATAGGTTGCTAGTAGGGATTCACCACGAGGTTATACCTCTATTAAGGATCTTTGAATTGTGACGCCTTCGGTGGCCAGACGGGAACTCGGCCCGCGAACATCGATCACACTACCTCATGCAGGGTCAGGTCCTCGGGGCCTTGTTTTCGAGTAATGACCTCGCCAAGAGTAATTATTTGCACAATATTGTGGTGGACCTGGATGAAGTGTTTTCATCGGGAGCAGATGAAAGTCTGCATCATAATGCTGATGTTTACACAATCCGATCACGTGCATGCACCTCGCTATGAGTGCACAAATCTTGGACGCGACGTTGAACCCCAGTTCACCTCACCCCGCTTGTTACTAGTCTCTTACATACTCCAAAGCAATTAGGAAATTAGGAGATTTGAGGTTTCCTTAATACTCCAGTGTTCCTTAGACATACATGACTATATGTAGGTCTATCCTGTCGAGCCCTGGTTGTCAGGAGCCATTCTGCCTCGGTATACTCACAGGGAGACGTGCAAGCCCCGTGAACCCCTCACGCTTGTCGTGACAGGCGACTAACGGGATCGGGTGGCCTGGCAAGCTGACCTTGTGGATGCATGTCATTGGATCCCGATTCCGTAGATCAATGCTTCTGATTTCAATCACTGGAGTTTCTGGTCAAAATTCAATCATTTACAGACCGCCGTCATATGGCTGGAATATTGCGATGGAATATAAACAACAAAACAAACAAAAAAGCAAAACAAGCCAAGATCAAACACAAACAAGCAAACGATGTTTGATGTCACGACGAACAGGTAGTAGTAAAGGGGAGCGAAAGAATGTGTTATATCTTCCAGAAAGGATCTCTCCAACCCGGCTAATAATAGTCTGTCTCCCAAACCCTAGAGAAAACATTTAAGAAGGAGTCCAACTCAAGGCTAGAATGATTTGGCAAGTCTAGATTTCCTCGGCTCTAGGATTAAGGAATATTCTGGGCTCCATTTTTATGTTGTAGAAATATATTTTTAAATAAGATAACTTCATTGCGGGGACTAAATGTCAGTTTAGGCAATGAGTGCTGGCTGACACACGGAATTAAGGTACATGGCCGAT